GCTGCTAGGTCAGGCCGCGACGGGCGGCGACAGGGCAGGGCCGCGACGGGCGACTAGGTCAGGGCCGCGACGGGCCGTTACGGCAAAGCCGCGACAGGCCGGGAGGGCAGGGCCGCTACGGGCGGCAGTAGGGCAGGGCGCGCGACGGCGCAGGTGAGGCAGGCGCGAGGCGCGCTTTGGGCAGGGCAGGAAGAAAAAGTTATCGTGCTGGGCCCTAAAAAAAAACGTTCCCACTAGGGAACCTGCTCTGATACCATGTCAGAAAGTAGGAATGAAGGATGACTAGAATGACAGCAGTACAGGGTTTGTATAGCAAAACCTAATTGGGCTGTACCCCATAAGGAGTGCCCCACTACAGCCTAGAGCATATAAATGCATAGTTCTGACAGACATGTACGCGGTGGATAGCATTGGTAGGAGAAGCAGAGCAGCCGAGTGATTTTCAGAGACTGCTGGCAACGGTACCGCCCGAACTACAGAAACTGTTGAAACGGTACCCGGGGATTTTACCAGAGGGACTGCCACCTCAGCGGGGACATGATCACCGAATAGAATTAGAACCGGGGGCACAGCCAACTGTACAGCGACAGTTTCGACTGACACAGCCCGAGCTCGATGAACTGAGGAAGCAGCTAGGATACCTGTTTTAGAAGAAGTTCATCCGACCGAGCTCATCGCCGTTCGCCGCACCGATACTGTTCACACCGAAAAAAGACGGAGGGTTTCGCATGTGTATCGACTACAGAGCATTGAACAGGGTAACAGTCAAGTCGCGATACCCCATTCCCCGCGCCGACGAACTTATAGATCAACTGCGAACAGCACGGGTCTTTTCGAAAATTTACTTACGGGGAGGTTACCATCAAATTAGGGTCGAACCATCGGACTGCGTCAAGACAGCATTTAGAACTAGGTACAGGTCATTCGAGTACACCGTAATGCCATTCGGACTGACCAACGCACCAACGACATTTCAGATAACCATGAATGAGGCGTTTAGACCACTTTTAGATAAATGCGTGATAGTTTACCTCGACGACATCCTCGTCTACAGTCGTGACAAGCAGCAGCACTTAGCAGATCTGGAAGCAGTTTTTAAGGTTTTAGACGAGCACCGCCTACTGACCAAGGGTTCCAAGTGCGAACTTTTTTCAGAACAGGCTAGAATTTTTAGGACACGTTATTTCGGAGGCTGGAGTTGAGATCGACCCAAAGAAGCTGGACACGGTAAAAGTGTGGCACCCCCCGACGAACATCACGGAGCTGCAGAGTTTTTTAGGGTTCGTTAATTATGTGCGTCGGTTCGTCCCCGACATGGCACGGTTAACTGCCCCACTGACGGATTTACTGCGGAAGGGAGTCGCTTTTACGTGGGGGGAGAAAAAGCATGCTGCCTTCTCTGCCCTGAAAAATGTTCTATGTTCACCGCCCGTACTGCGCATCGCCGACCCACACCGCCCATTCGAAGTGGTTATAGACGCAAGCGACATCGCCATTGGAGCCGTACTGCTACAGGATTTCGGCAACGGTTTACAGCCCATCGCATACGAGTCACGAAAACTGCATCCGCCCGAGAAGAATTACCCGATACACGACCGCGAAATGCTCGCGATCGTGCATGCGTTCAAAGTGTGGCGCTGTTACTTGACCGGCGCAGACGTGACAGTACGCCACAAATCACTACAGTACATGCGCGCACAGCCCCACCTCAACCCACAACATATCCGCTGGCTCGATTTCCTCGAGTCAAACTTCCACTACACGGTCACCTCCAAAAAACAGGCATCGAACATTGCTAACGCACTGACCCGCCCCACTGCCCAAATCCACGCCATACTACTCGCCCAGACCAGCCCGCTACTAACAGGACTATTTACCCACGGCTATCAAACCGACCCATTCTTCACAGGTGGAAATTCGCAGCAGTTCGCAGCAGCAAAGGGGGTTTATTACGTAAAAGCCGGCACCGACCGCATCTGGGTACCGGGCTACACTTTACTAAGGGAGCTGTTACTACAGGAGGCACACGACGGGGTTACCTCAGGACATTTTGGAGTAGAGAAAACACGGCAGCACCTGCAGCGGAATTACTACTGGCCCAAAATGCTGACCGACGTGCAACGACACGTGGCATCGTGTCCCACCTGCCAAATCATGAAGTCATCACGGAAACGGCCGGCAGGGCAGTTACAGCCGATACCACCCCCACAGCGTGCTTGGCAGCAGGTGACGATGGACTTCGTCACGGGGTTACCGGCTGGAGCAAGTGGGAACGACGCGATCCTGGTCGTCGTCGATCGGCTGACGAAAATGGCACATTTCGCAGCCTGCAAAAAATCGATCACAGCCGAAGAAACAGCCCGCCTCTTCATCTCCACCGTCGTTCGACTGCACGGGATACCAGCATCAATTATCAGCGACCGCGACACGAAATTCACCAGCAACTTCTAGCGGAAGCTGTGGCAGCAGTTCGGCACGCGACTACAGTTTAGTTCTTCGTACCACCCCGAGACCGACGGACAGACAGAACGGACAAACCAGACCATGGAGCAACTCATCCGAGCCACGTGCGACGACCCGACCACCTGGGAACAGCAACTGCCACTCATCGAGTTCGCGTACAATAACTCGCCATCCGCCACGACCCAACAGTCACCGTTTTACCTTTACTACGGACAAGACCCCACAGTACCCATGACCCCGAATCCCGGCAACCCGGTGCCACGCGCGTAACAGTCCGCAGACATTTTACAAGCAGCACGGACCCGAGCAGCAGACGCAATAAAAAAATCGAACATCATCGCTAAGCGTAACGCCGACCGCCACCGCCGACCCGTCACTTACCAGCCCGACGACCTCGTGCTACTCGACACTCAAAACCTCCGCCTGCCCATCACCCCAAAACTCCGCCCCCGATATTGCGGGCCATTTCGCATCAGCCACATGATCACACCCGTCACCGCCCACCTCCTCCTCCCTGCTGACTGGTACGTCAGCCCGTCATTCCACGTCAGCCTGCTTCACCCATACGTGCCATCCACCAGCCAACTGCCTCGCAACCGCCCAGCCAGCATGACACGACCGCCGACAGAGCCAATCATCACGCCCGAAAAAATACTGAGCCACCGAATACGTGACCCACGGGGAGCCCGCAGGATCGAATTCCTGATCCGCTGGAAAGACCGCACGCCCACCGAAGACAAATGGGTTCCCCTGGATAGAATCGAGAATCACCCTGTCCTCAGCGCAGCCGAAACTTTCGAGATGTACACGCGCCCTCGTAAGGAGGGCCTCCTTAGGGAGGGGGGTAGTGTAAGGAAAATCCATTTTCCTTACTTCGCGCCCCTGCTTACCGCGTACAAGACCATTCCCGCCATCGGCACCCAACAGTGAAACGTTACACGCTCGCGACACTCGCCTCGACTACGACTCCCGCCACTGTTCACGATGCGACCCAACCTCACGGTTCGGTTGGTAACCGGCGCTTTGGTCCGGACCTCCGCCTCCACATTTCCCAACCTCGGCGCTAGGCCCGTAGCGCACCCCATTGTTCTCGCGTTACCGTTACCACTCCACTCTAGTTCGCTATATATTCTTCGCGCATGCCTTCGCTCATTGTATTGTTTTTGCTTCGATAGTGCAATTCTCGCTCGTTCGCTCAATTGCACTCGTAACACATTACCATTCTAGACTTGGGCTTTAACTGGGCGGCGCACTGTTGAATGACGAGTCTGGTTTCGCGCCAAAACTGGTCTTTATTGCCAAGACTGTGCGGAGCGGAATGTCGGTGCTCGAGAACAGAGGGGTTGGGTTTCCAGCCGTCAGATCATGTTTGGCATAGTTTCTGACAGTATCAGTCGCAGCAACGCAAGGCATCGACCTACCTAATTTATTACTTTCTGCATCGTCTTCTCTCAGCCCTAGTCACTGCATTGTGCTTCGGAAACGTCGAGATTTACCCTCGCCGTCAGATGAAATGAGGACTTCCATCAAGCTCCTTGTCTTGGCGATTCTTGCCGCTCTCCTTCTCTCGGCTGGTGAGTTCGCGCGCTGATTCCCCGACTCACCCCCGTCATGGTTCACCTCTTTCTAGGGTCACCCTTTCACCACGGTCATTGTTGCCTTCGTTGCTGCTATCCCTGTTCTGTTACTCATAGTCGCCCTCCATTTCCCCTTTCAGCTCTCCCGAGTTTGGCTTTGGGCCGTTGCCACGGAAAATTGAGGAAGGTGCTAAAAACCGACAAGTGTGCGGTCATAATCAATAAGTACTACAGAAGGCAGCCTAATCTTTTCGTGAAGTACAACGGCTACAAATGCACCGATCCCCTCAAGGCCGGCTCCACCATCTGTCTGCCGTAGTAGAACAAGAGGATAAAATAATCTCAGGAAGCTGCCGCCTTAAAGCCCGAGGTCCAGAGCGTTCAACGGTAGGAAGGTTGTTTGGGAAAAGTGACGCAACTACAGTGCCAGTTTCTTGGCAGGAGACCCCTTTATGAGTACATGACATACTATGATAAAGTATGATACGATACGTCTTCCAGAAGCCTTGCGTAGCTTGTAGTTCATTCATCATGAGAACATGACATACTATGATCCTCATCCATACTTGAATCTGGAGTATTTACAATACAGGAATTCAAAACTTCCACTTGAAAACCACTTGACACTAGAACCTCTCTTTCAAGGGTTTGATACCGGTTACTTCCACTCACTTACGCCCAATGTTTCTTCTAAATATCTGCTGGGCTCCTCTCAGCCCAGCCGGTTGCACGCGGCATTGTGTGAACAGCCCTTGCTTTTGCGGCACGTCTCTCCGCTCCCTGCATCCCTGTCTCCGCACTCACGGCATCCTCAGCACTCACAGCAGCCTCAACAGTCACAGCAGCCTCAACAGTCACAGCAGCCTCAACAGTCACAGCAGCCTCAGCACTTAGCAGCCCCAGCAGTCAAGGCACGCCGCTCTGTGTGTCCTTCCCCTCTGCCGCGCAACCTGCGGCTCATCATCCCGTCCACCTGGGCTTGCCACCCTTCTTCCCCTCGTTGCCAACCTTCTTCCCCTCGTTGCCACCTTTCTTCCCTTCGTTGCGCTTCCTCTTCTGACCGCTCAAGTGCTTGCTGCCTGCCCACCCTCCCTTCCCTGCCCCCTTCTCCTTCTTGCTCCCACCGCCCTTCCCCTTTGCGCCTCCCTGCTTGCCCCCTGTCCCCATCCCCCATGCAGCCCTCGCCTCACCACCACCCTTGCGCCACCTCCCCCCCTTCGCTCCACTCCACCCCGTGTCATCCCTCCTCTCACCCCCCCAACCCTTTCCATCCTCTCCGGGATTCCCGTTGCTCGCTCTGCCCCCACTCCTCCCACCGCCTCCTCTCCAAAGCTCCTCCTCCTCACCCTCACCCTCCTCATCCCAAGCAGACCTCCCCCCTTCAAATTGCTGCCGCTTCCCTCTCTTCCCACCACGCCCAGCACCGTCACCCCCCTCCTCCTCCCACCTCCCTCGCCTCTTCCTCTCCTTCATCTGCCCTGCCCCCCTCACGCTCCTCCACCCATCCTCCTCGTCGTCCTCCTCATACTCATACTCACGCCCATTGGGGTTCCCACGGCCATGGCTGCCATCATCACTGTCCCAGAACCGCTTGTGCTGCGCTCTCTTTCCCTGCTGCCCTCCCTGCCCCCACTGCCACCTCTGCCCCTGCTGCCCCTGCTGCCCCTTGCCGCCTCTCCCGGTGTCAAAGCGGGCGGCAATCATAATGCCATCCCCGATACGGTCCTCCTCGCTATCATCACTGTCATCGTACCCCAACCGATCATACGCCTCGACAAACCGCGTGTCATCCCCATCCCCATCCCCATCCCCATCCCCATCCCCATCCCCATCACCACCACTATCCTCCTCCTTCACCTCGTCAAAATCATCATCATCATCATCATCTCTGCTCCGCTGAGCCATAGCAAACCGCTTCTTGCCTCCCTTCCCACCCGCATCCTTCCCTCCCCTCCACCTACTCCCCCTATCTCCCCCACCCCCCTCTGCATCTCCACTCCCCTCCCCCCCCTCATCCTCCTGCGTGCCCCGCCCCCTGCGAAACGTCTTGGGGCAGTCTTTGATCAGATGCCCCGCCTCGCCACACCGGAAGCACCGCCGCCCCTCCGCCCCCCTGCCTGCACCCGCTGCCCTCAGGTGACCAGCAGCAGCGTCGGCACCTGCTGTCTTGTATCTGGTGGCGGGGCTGTGTGTAGCGAAGTTGAAGGAGTTGAAGTGGCGTGCAGAGGGGCACTCCTGACAGTGGGCAGACAAGGGGGAGAGGGGGGTGGGGTGTGCACAGAGGAGGAGGGGAGGTTGAGGGGAATGGTTGCTATTGTAAAGTGAGGGGTGAAAGGCAAAGAGGGGGATGATGCGGACATCACGAGGTGGACGCATTTGATGATGAGAAAAGACCAAGAGCTCAGAAAACATGAAATACCGATGGGGTCAGCATGTAGGGGAAAGAGGAGGGGCAAGAGAGGGAAGACGGCGGGGTGGAAGCAGAGAGAAGGAGATGGAATGCAGAAAGGGCAGCGAGGCAGGAGTGGTTGTGCAGGTGGAGAGAGGGAAGGTGCAGCGACGTGTAAACAAGCACGATGCTCCATGTCCCTCCACTCTTTCTACCTCCCCCCACTCCACCACCTCTTCCCTACTACCTCCTACCTCTCCCTGCTGCCCCTCACCTCTCCCTGCTGCCCCTCACCTCTCCCTGCTGCCCCTCACCTCTCCCTGCTGCCCCTCACCTCTCCCTGCTGCCGCTCACCTCGCCGTGGTGGCCCCTGGCGCCACAGCAGCAGCACGACGGCTTGGGCGGCGGCTCTGCCAGGTCAGCGCACGCCAGGTGGCCCCACTGCAGGCACACGTGGCACTGCACCCTCGCCAGGTCAGCAGGATCGTACGGCTGCCAGCACTCCCCAAACACGTGCCCCTCGCCGCCACACCGCATGCACTCCGCCGCCCCCCCTCCCCGCCCTGCCCTCTGCGTGTCCTCCCCCTCTCCCTTGTCCCCCCCCTCAACCCCCGCCTCCTTCTCTCCTCCCCCTCCTTTCTCTTCCACCGCAGCAGCGGCAGCACTGCCACCATCGCCAGCAGCAGCAACGGTACCGTCCCCAGCAGCAGCAGCACCATCAGCAGCAGCGCCATGAGCGCCCTTGCGGCCGCCACCAGCCGCCCCCTGCGCCCGGGTCCACGTGCGGGAGGGGCAGTGCCTGACCACGTGCCCCGGCTGCCCACAGCGCACACACATCACCCTCTCGGGACACCGCCGCTCCGAATGCCCCAACCCCCCACACACGCAGCACACCCTCCCCTCGCCCTCGCCCTCCCCCGCCCTCCCCCCTGTCCCCCCTTCACCCCCGTCCCCCTGCTGCGCGCCCTGGCAGACGTGGGGGAGGGGCCCGGCGAGCACGAGGCCACAGAGGTAGCACTGGTGCTGCCCCTCCGCGGGTGTGAAGTACCGTGGCAGCCGCAGCAGCCGCCGCATCTCCACGCCCTCCCCGCCTGCCTCGCCCCCTCCCTCGCCTGCTGCTTCCGACTTAAGTTGAGGCGCTGACTGGGCCTTCCCTTGGGGGTGCGACTGGTCGCCCTGCTGCCCACTCGCTGCTGCGCCATCACCTGTTGCTCCCTCCGCTCCCTCCGCTCCCTCTGCCCCCTTGCCCTTTGCCCTCTTCTTCCTTTTCTTTTTCCTCTCCTGCCCGTCTTCCTGGTTTTCATTCTGCCCGCCCTCCAAAGCCGCACTCTGCCCCTCGCGCGTCCCTGCACTCGTTCCCTCCTCCTCTCCTCTCCTCTCCCTCCGACCTTTCTTTCTCCTCCCCTTCCCACTCTTCTCCGCCCCCTCCGCTCCCCTTTCCCCCTCCCCCGTCCCGTACTCCGTAGCTCCCACTGCTATAATTGACGTTGCCCTGTCTGCCGTCTCCTCACCTGCTCGCTCCTCGCCCCCATCCCGTGCCGCCGCCCCTCCACCACCCATCGCCTCCCCACCCCCTCTGGCCTGCCCGGCTGCCCTTGCCTCGTCCACCTTGACTCTCTCCACTTCCACATCCGCCATTGAATGTTCCACGTCAGCCCTTGTCGCTTCCACGTCAGCCGTTGTCTGCTCCACGTCATCAGCCCTTGTACGTTCCATGTTCATGCGAACTTGAGACTCCTCCACGTCCGTCCTTGTATCGCTTACGTCAGCCCCAGTGTTCTCCACGTCAGCTCCGGCGGCGCTAACGTCAGCCCGTGAGTGCTCCACGTCAGACACCGTGTCGCTCTCTTCTAGCGTCAGGTCAATAACTGGACTCGTTAGTGGCTTTCTCGCTACATTACGAGCATCTCCGCGCTCCTCCGTTCCAACGTGCGTCACGGCAGACTCACCTTCGACAATAGCATCCCCCGTTATAGCATATTCACGACTACTATCTGCAGCTTTCATAGCAGCAGCATCGTCGCGCATCATTGTAGCTTTCCCATCTACATTATCGTCGTCGTGAGAGGCTCTAGCAGCCCGATCGGCTGTAGCGGCCGCCGGGTCGGCTGTAGCGCCCAGGCCGGCTGTAACGCGTTCACTGACCGTAGCACGTTCATTGGCAGTGGCGTTCCGATCGGCATCAGCGCGTGAGGCGGCATCGTTCTGCACTATAGGTTGATCGCTCTCGTCGCCCGCAAGAACCCGTGATATCCCGTCCGCTCTGCATGAAACCCGCGCTGCCCCCTCCGCTCCGCCTAAATCCCGCGCTGACCCGTCCGCTCCGCCTAAAACCCGCGCTGTACCCTCATCCTCACCTAAAGCCTTCGACGCAAAAAACAGTCGATCGTACTGCGGAACGATCGAAGGCGGAAGGACGGACGGAAGGGCCGACGGCGCAAGGGCGGCGGAAGATCCGGGGGAAGACCTGGGGGAAGATCCGGCGGAAATCCTGGGGGAAGCGCTCACTCCTTCTGCTGGGCTCGCCTTACCTAGCATCGCCATTGTCGGCCGGCGCGGTCCGGCATGCAATCGGCGAGCGCAAGACGCGTTGCCTAACGAGCTCTGCAGAGGCGACAAGGAAAGCTCGCGAGCGGCACGACGAGTGGCGAGGTCGCGACACGCGTCGAGGCTGCTGGACAGCGGAGGTCGCACCGCAAAAAGGGTTGCTTGACTGGCCCGAAAGTATTGAAGAAAACCCTAATGCTAGTAGAGGCGAAGAAGAATATATCTGAGGCTCCACGAGGCAAGCCTTGAAGAAAGAGGCGACGGAATGAGGGGAATGAAAAATAGTAACAAGTATTGGCGGCAGTGGTTGGTACTGGGAAGGGCAGGCGGAGTTCATCGCGCGTTGCTGTCAGGAAGGTGCGAAGCTGTGCTGAAATTAGGTTCGGGTCATCTCTGTTCGTAACCAGTTGAGCCTGCTAGCGGCGAAACCAAGGCCATCGCCACTTCACCTTTTTGGTAACAGTGCAGGTTGCCTTGCACTACTCGGGATACACCAAGGTTTGAGAGGAACTTTGCCAAACTTCTGGTTGTGGTGTCTCTTCCGGTTTCACAAAATGTGCAGAGATTTCTGCTCTAACGTGGGAGTTGGAGCTCTACGAAATGCTTCTCTACAGCCACGCAATCTTTGTTGTTCACTAAGGAGAAAAATTGACAAGTGTTGAGAAGGGCATAGCTTTGGCACACACAAAGAAAATTCACTAGAATAGAATAGAATACAAGGAGGGGTGAAATAGAAGCTACCCAACCAATCAACCATGCAGAGAACGTTCGCCCAAGAACGTTTACATAACTACTTTTAGCTGCGCTTTGCCAACTCAGCGTAGGCAGGTGAAAACTACAACACGTGCTTAGTTGGTAATTTACACCTACCTAAAAGTAGTTGTTTTAGCTGTTCAGGTTGATTTAAACAACTTCTGTAACGCACGTTTTCGTAGTTACGAAAACGTGCGCCAGGTTCATTCTGTGCAGGTGGTTCAGTTTCGCCCCAGATTGAACACCCCAGTTCCGCGCACTGTTCCTCGGGGTCAATTTCTCAATGTCCTGCAATGTTCCGAAATTCCCACGCAAAAGTTCCGAAACGATCGCGTTTTCGCGTCGGAGAGGTTCGTCGGTCGAGAATGTGCTTCTCTGCAGAAATCCGTTTCTGCAGACGCGCCCTCCTCTGCAGAACAATTTCTGCAGATGCGCACTCTTCTGCAGATGCGCATTCTTCTGCAGCAGAATCCGATTTCTGCTTCTCCGAACTCCCTCTGCAGAACTCCGCGTAATCCTCTGCAGAATTCCCTTCGGCGGAATTTCTCCTCCCCTGCAGAATTCGACGACCCTCTGCAGGGTCAGTGCAATCTCAACACCCCCCTGCACTGATCATGCTGGTCGTCGCAGAGGAAATTGACCCATCTACACCACACACAAGAGCAGAACAGAAATAAAGAAAGAAAGAAAAACATGCAGAAAAGAAACACACAAGAATTGCAGAAGTCTGCAATTCGCACACACCATCACCGCACCAGCCATGAAAAGGTCATGGCACCTATTCCTCGTCGAGAGGACTCTCTGCGCAGCTCCCCTTCGTCGTAAGCCTTACTTGACCAACTTTTGCAAAGCACTTGTTGAACGCAGGGAAATGTAGTGCTTTCGTCAAGTAATCTGCCGGCTGCTCGGTCGTCGAGATGTACTGCAACTTCAGCTTGCGACGTTTCACCATGCTCTGCAACCACATGTAGCGCCGCTCCATGTGTTTCAGCTTTCCCTTGAGCCCCATTCCTTCAGACACGGAAACCGCAGACTGGTTGTCGACGTGAATAATCGTTGGTGACGTCTCGTCGAGCATGCGAAATTCTGCCATCAGATAACGGAGCTTTCGGGCTTCCTTTCCAGCCTCCACTGCAGCGATGTATTCCGACTCCGTAGAAGAGAGAGTGATGCACCTGATCCTCTGACTTGACCACGAAATTGCAGCTCCTCCGAGAGTGAAAATGTAGCCACCCGTGCTGCTGGGATTTTGCTTGTCTCCTGCATCGTCTGCATCTGCGAAGCCGACGAGACGCATCTCTCCATTTCCGCCGCCGAACTCGAGAGCAACATCGCGCGTCCCAACAAGGTACGCAATGCAGCGGTCGAGCTCCCTCCAATGTTGATCGCTTCGAGCCGTTTGACCAGACGCAAGTTTGCTGCAGGCGAAGGAGATGTCGGGGCGAGTAGTGCAGGCAGCGAACTGCAGAGAGCCGACCCTCTGCCGATACTCTTCTTCTGTGCGCGCCTGCAACTTCTCGTCATCAAATGTCAGCACCTTGAAGGCGTCGACCGAAATTGGCGTCTTCGGAACTCGCTGAGGAGGTCCTTCTGGCAGAAAACGCCTCTGCACCCTGTCGACGTAGCCTTTCTGATGCAGCCAGATCTTCCCCGCTTCCCTGTCTCTGATCAGCTCCAGTCCCAGGTACTTGTTGACAGGGCTGATCTCCCGCAATTTGAAGGCGTTTTCGAGCAGCGCCTTCAGTTCTGCCAGATGTTCCTTGCTGCGGCTCGCGGCGAGCAGATCGTCGACGTAGACGAGCACCCAGCACATGTCGTGGTTCTCGTCCTCGTGGAAGTAGAAAGCTTCGTCGACCTGACTCTTCGACCATCCTGCATCTTCCAGCACTTCGTCGAGGGCCTCGTACCACAACATCGGACTCTGCTTCAGTCCATAAAGGCTTTTCTTCAGCATGCAGACTCGACCCGTCCCGTCGTTGTAGAACTCGGGCTGCTCCATGAAGAGAGGACGGTCAAGTTTCGCATTCAGAAATGCATTCGTCATGTCGAGTTGCATCAACTCCAAATTTCCGTCAGCCGCGTTCGACAGATGCATCCGAGCAGTTCCGTAGCTTCCGACGGGGGCCGATATAGCGTCAATGTCGTCAGGGGTCTGCGTGTATCCTTTGACGACAAGTCGACCCTTCTCTCGGTCGACCGTATCGTCTGGGTTGTACTTCGTCGTCAAAACCCATCGATTCTTCATGACATTAACCCCAGACGGACGAGGAACCAGCTCCCAAGTCTCTTGATCGTAGAGAGTCTGCATCTCTGCATCCATTGCAGCTTTGACCGCTTCACCTTTCCAGCTCTGCAAAGCTTCTGCGACCGTCATGGTCGAAATGTCCCAACGATGATCCGTGTCGACGACGCACTCGTCAGCAGAGTCGAGCTCTTTCTGCATTACATCCTCATGCATGTCGTCGAGCGAAGTCATCGTAAACATCGTCAGTGCTTCGCGGAATCGGATCGGCTTCTGAATCTTTCGACCGTAGCGAGAAACCTGGAAATTTTCGTCTGCAGGTCCTTCTTCTGCAGGTTGCTCTTCTGCGGCAATTTCTTCTAACTCAGGCATCTCTTTTTCGACATTTTCTTCTGCAAGCAGCTCGTCTGCAGATCGATCTTCTGCCGATTGCTCTTCTGCGGATCGCTCTTCTGCGGATTTTTCGTCTGCAGGCTGTTCGACTTCTCGATGCTCATTGGCGAAGACATTCATCGGCAATTTGCTCCCCTCTTCGCCAAGGAGTGTCGACAATGGCACCATTTTTTCAGTCGAAGGAAAGAACGTCGAAGAAGAGGCAGTCGACAGCTGCTCCCCTGTCGAAGAAGAGTCAGAGCGAATGTCTTCTGCAGAACGAACCTGCTCCCCAGAAGGAGTGTCATCTGCAGGAGAAGTGTCTTCAGCAGGAGGAGTCTCTGGCAACGGCGAGAGTTGCACTGGAGGGTTGTCAGTAGGCAGCTGCGGTCGAGGAATCGGCGTAGGCACGAGCAGAGGGGCTGGTGCCTTAGTCATTTCGTCATCATCGTCGTCATCATTCGCAGGATCCGTCGGGAATGATGCCAAATTGTCGAGCGCAGCACGGTCGACGGTGGGACTCTGCTTCGTCGCCTTCCACTCTGCAAGAGACATTGTCTCGTAGAAGATGGCCTCGACCGTGGTGATCAAACGGTTGCTCGACAAGTCGAGAACCAACCACCCCTTACTCTGCTGCGAGACACCCAGGTGGAGACCCCAACGAGCTTTCGGCTCCAGCTTCCCCCCCCGCTGACTCTCTGGAATGAGGTACTGCAGCATACACCCCCAAACTCTAGCCATCCCAAGGTCAGGCTTCTTGTCGAAGAGCACTTCATAAGGAGTTACCCCTGATGGCAGAGAGGAATGTTCTAGACGATTCCTCACCCAAACAGCTTGCAGAGCTGCAAGGTGCCACCAATGGTGGAGAGCTCCCATGTGCAGAAGCATCGTCCTAACTGCTTCGACGACAGTCCGCATTTCACGTTCCGCCATCCCGTTCTGCTGCGGCGTATAGGGGCAGGTGAGGTCGTGCTCAATCCCTTTCTCTTCGAGGAACTCGGTGAATTTACGTCCCAAAAATTCGCCACCTCGATCGGAGCGGAGAGCCTTCAGTGAAGCCTCACATTGCCTCTCTGCACGCGGAAGCCACTTCTGAAAAACGCGCAGAGCATCGCTTTTCTGCGCAATCGGGTAGAGCCAGACGTAGCGAGATTTTCGATCCTTGAGCAGAAGAAAGTAGCGGCTGCCATCTTTTGCAGGAACTCGGAAGGGCCCGCAGAGATCGATGTGCACTACTCCCAGCACCTTCTGCTCTTCGCTCCCCTCTTGAGGGAAACTATGCCGAATAAGCTTTCCCCCCACACAAGAAACACACGGTAGATCAGGGTTGGCTGACTTGTCAATATCCAAGCCTGTCGCTGCACCATGCGTCGCCGTCTGCTTGATTGTTTCGACGCCCGCATATGCAAGTCGAGGATGCCACACATCCATCTTCGCCCGTGTATCCGTCGCCAAGGTCCGCAGAGCAATCGCCTCCTCTGCCGATTTCTGCAGCGGCCACACCTGGAGATCTGTGCTGAGTACTCGTCCTCGATAACGAGCGCGTCCAAGGACTGTCCCATCAGTAGAGAGAAGGAGGGTCTCTTCACCTTCATCCTTCAGCTTTACCCCACAATCCTTCAGCTGCCCAGCAGACAACAGATTCGCATGGATTCCAGGTACGTAGAGCACATCAGGAATCAGAATCTGCTTCCCAGCTTCACCGCGTAGAGCGATTGTTCCGCGACCACACACGTCTTGGAATGCCCCGTTGAATCCGCGAACATGTTTAATGTTGCCGCCTTCATGCATTTCGACAAAGGCTGCATCGTCGCCAATCAGATGATGTGAGCAGCCACTGTCGAGAAGAACAACTGCAGGATCGGCCTCGACGGCTGCAGCAATCGCCTGAAAATCCTCACCATCTTCCGCATTCAGCGAAATGAGCAGATCGGTCGTCTGCAGCTGGTCCACAACTGGTCCCACCATTGAACAAGAAGGTCCCTTTTTGTTGGTCGAATTGGAGTTGTCGCTCTGCACTCCAGTCTTCGAAGAACTCTCCTTCTGCGCGGAAGCATTGTTCTTCTTGTCGGCACGTTGTTCGCACTGGAACGCAAAGTGACCGACTTCTCCGCAGACCCAGCAAGGTTTCTTCGAGCTCCGTTTGTTGTTCTGCTGTCGACCATCTTTCTTCTGCTGCTCCTTGTTCGACGACTTCTGCTCCGTAGAACCGCCAGTTGTCGAAGAAGACCAACGCTTCTGCTGTTGCTGCTGCTGCTGCTGCTGTCCCGTCAACACCCAGTTGACCTGTGGCAGAGGTGATTCCTTCCGCTTTTCGAGCTCGAGCGTGCACTCCTCCGCGATAATTCTGCTCGTCAAAGTGTTTTCGTCGAGGGTCTTGCAGTTTTCCGGAGATTGTAGCATTCGTCGAAGGTACTTGTACTCCGCGGGAAGACCTGTAAGGACATGAGTCACATACGAGGCCATCGAATAGTTCACGCCAGCCATTCGCAGATTAGCGAGAATCATCTGCGCACGATTGCAGTAGGTCGTCGCCGTCTCATGCTCCGCCATCTCTAGCGTCGCCAAGCTCCTCTCCAGCTGGCCGATATAGAGATAGTCCGTTGCTTTGTAGGTCTCCATGATGAAGCGCCACGCCTGGTAGCCCGCGTCCACTCGAAGACGACATGACTTCAAGGCGATCTTCACGGATGGAGAGCAGCAGCGCGATATCACCATAAAGGTCAGAAGTTGCGCCGAGCGAAATTGTATATACTGTGAAGTGTCGCTCAGCCGTGGAATCTTGATCGAGCCGTCGATGAACGGCTTCAGCTGCGCAATTTCAAGTTGGGGCTCGATGGACTCCCTCCAGACGGATAAGTCATGACGTCCTTCGAGAAGCTTCAGCACCACGATTTTGTCGGGAGAAATTTTGAAGTATCCGTAGTCAGGAGCAATTCTGCAGTCTTTCGATGCCGTCGGGTGAGAGATTGCCGAGCTCCCACCAGTCTTCACTGCAGATTCTCGACCGCTCAAGCGTCCACCCCTGCCAGCCGCCTTCTTCGGGCTTGCATCTTTCTTCTTCTGCGAGCCTTCACCAGGGCTCATCAGTTCTCCTTGTCCTAGAACACCTCGTGGCTCCTGCATTCCGCCTTCTTCCAGTTCTTCAGCGTTCTCGTCGTCTCCAGAAGTCTGTGATGCCCCGTCTTCCTCTGAACGAGTCTGCGGATGGTCCATCTCCCATTGAGCTCGTGCTCCCAAGAGCATAAAGTTGAGCTCCTGCTCGGTGAGATCTCCGCCTTCATGACGAGCCATCAAAGCAGCCTCCTGCTCACTTAAACTGTCGAACGTCTCGAGGATTTCCTCAGAGCCCACCATGTCGACTAGCTAAGTTCAATGAGACCTGACGTCGAAGAACGGACTCTATGCGTGTTCGATCCACGCTCACCGCACCATGCAGAGATTTCTGCTCTAACGGGAGTTGGAGCTCTACGAAATGCTTCTCTACAACCACGCAATCTTTGTTGTTCACTAAGGAGAAAAATTGACAAGTGTTGAGAAGGGCATAGCTTTGGCACACACAAAGAAAATTCACTAGAATAGAATAGAATACAAGGAGGGGTGAAATAGAAGCTACCCAACCAATCAACCATGCAGAGAACGTTCGCCCAAGAACGTTTACATAACTACTTTTAGCTGCGCTTTGCCAACTCAGCGTAGGCAGGTGAAAACTACAACACGTGCTTAGTTGGTAATTTACACCTACCTAAAAGTAGTTGTTTTAGCTGTTCAGGTTGATTTAAACAACTTCTGTAACGCACGTTTTCGTAGTTACGAAAACGTGCGCCAGGTTCATTCTGTGCAGGTGGTTCAGTTTCGCCCCAGATTGAACACCCCAGTTCCGCGCACTGTTCCTCGGGGTCAATTTCTCAATGTCCTGCAATGTTCCGAAATTCCCACGCAAAAGTTCCGAAACGATCGCGTTTTCGCGTCGGAGAGGTTCGTCGGTCGAGAATGTGCTTCTCTGCAGAAATCCGTTTCTGCAGACGCGCCCTCCTCTGCAGAACAATTTCTGCAGATGCGCACTCTTCTGCAGATGCGCACTCTTCTGCAGATGCGCATTCTTCTGCAGCAGAATCCGATTTCTGCTTCTCCGAACTCCCTCTGCAGAACTCCGCGTAATCCTCTGCAGAATTCCCTTACGGCGGAATTTCTCCTCCCCTGCAGAATTCTGACCCTCTGCAGGGTCAGTGCAATCTCAACAAAATGAACCAGGTGTACCCTGGTTCATCCAGTGTTTCAACCGAAATTTGATGTGGAGTTCGATCAAAGACTGAGAAAAATGGACAGGCATGATCGAGAACCCAATGTCGATCCGCCACTGCACGGCAACCATGTGCATCCACAGGACTTCCTTCATCCTAACCTTCCCGCACACACGCGGATTCTTCAGCAGAATCGAGAAGAGATACCATTGGAGAACCATGACCGCAGAGTGCCCTTGAAGGGATTTCCAACATAATTCTCGATGCGCCTCGGCTTCCTCTGCGTCTGCTCCACTGCCACATCACTCTCGCGCGCTCCCTTCCCTCGTCTGCTCCACCGCGCGGTTTGTTTCGCCGGAGCTCCGCGCGGAACCCCTCTGACGGCTTCCCTCCCCGCCACTCCGCCATTCGCGCTGCTGGCGGCCCGCGCCGCCCCTCACAACGCCGCCATGCGTGGCGTGGCGGCGTTCCTGCGCGGCTTCCTCGACTCCGCGCTGCCGCTGCTCGCCCTGCTTGCGCTGCTCTCCGCGTTCCTCCGCTTCCTCCCCCCCCGCGCCTCCGTAAGAGCCCCCCCCCTCCCCTCCCCCCCCCCTTCTTCTCGTAGGATTCCTTTCTTCCCCCCTCGCCGAACGGCCTCTAAGAGCAGGAACCCCCTCGCCGTTCCCGTCTAAGAATGTCCGTGCCCGCCCTGCTTCCTTCACCTCCCCTGTCCCCTTCCCACCCCTGTGCTCCTCTCTGCCCTGCTCGCTCTTCTCTCCACCTCCCACTCGTGCCCGCCTCTTGCTCTCAACACCCGCCCTCCCCTTTGGCTAACGTCTCCCCTGTCTGCTCCCCTTGCCACTCACCTCATTCCCGCTTTCCTCCCCTCCCATGCCCCCACCCTCCCTCCCACGCACCCACCCGCCCATGCCATGTACGGAGGGCGGCAGGAGGAGGTGGGGCGGTGGGAGGAGGTGCAGGAGCAGAGCGCCGATGCCGCCACCACCATGCTGCTCGCCGCGCTCAGACGACTCAAGTGTGAGCCGCCTGCCCCCTGTGCTGTGCTCCCTGCCGCCTGCCCCCTGCCCCCTGCCCCATGCCCCCTGCCCCATGCCCCATGCCCCCTGCCCCTGCCCCATGCCCCATGCGTCCCACTTCCTCTTCCCCATGCTCATTCCCCATCCGCCTGGCATCTCCTCGCACTCACCCCATCCCTCCCCTGCCTTCCTCCCTTTCCCCTCCCCCTTCCCCGTGTGTATCCGTCAAATTCTCCCCCCATGCACCTTGTGTCGCACTCACCTCACCCCAACCATCCCCGCGCCCTCACCCACTGCATGCAGCGGAACCACAGAGGCAGCGCCTGGAGAGGGGTCTGCCGGGGTGCGTCCTGTATGCAGACGACCGCCGCCTCTCTGCATCCTCGCTAAGAGCTGCTGGCAGTGACTCGTTTGAAGCGCATGGGCGCGAGTTCCCCTACTGGCTCGCCACCAAGCTTATCAACCGGTGAGGCGTGAGTGAGCAGGGAGTGAGTCAATAGGAAGGGCGTGAGTCAGCAAGGGAGGTCAGGGGAGTGTTAAGCAGCAGGGGGGGTGTTGAGACAGCAGTGAGTCGTTTTAAGCGCATGGGAGCGAGTTCCCCTTCTGGCTCGCTACTAAGCTTATAAGACAATCGCCCTGGCAGACACTCGCCCTCTTCTTCAACGCACCTAGCAGCACACACTCTTCACTCCCTGCTCCGCTGCCCCCCCCTCCTCCCCTTCCTGTTCGCGCATGCCCCACAGGGCGTATGCACAGCGCCACGGGTACCGCTTTGTGGTGATGGGCGAGGCGGACAAGGAGCCCGGCAGACACCCCTCGTGGTTCAAGGTGCGGCAGACACCCCTCCTGGTTCAAGGTGCGGCAGACACCCCTCGTGGTTCAAGGTGCGGCAGACACCCCTCGTGGTTCAAGGTGCGGCAGACACCCCTCGTGGTTCAAGGTGCGGCAGACACCCCTCGTGGTTCAAGGTGCGGCAGACACCCCTCCTGGTTCAAGGTGCGGCAGACACCCCTCGTGGTTCAAGGTGCGGCAGACACCCCTCGTGGTTCAAGGTGCGGCAGACACCCCTCCTGGTTCAAGGTGCGGCAGACACCCCTCGTGGTTCAAGGTGCGGCAGACACCCCTCCTGGTTCAAGGTGCGGCAGACACCCCTCGTGGTTCAAGGTGCGGCAGACACCCCTCCTGGTTCAAGGTGCGGCAGACACCCCTCGTGGTTCAAGGTGCGGCAGACACCCCTCCTGGTTCAAGGTGCGGCAGACACCCCTCCTGGTTCAAGGTGCGGCAGACACCCCTCCTGGTTCAAGGTGCGGCAGACACCCCTCCTGGTTCAAGGTGCGGCAGACACCCCTCGTGGTTCAAGGTGCGGTAGACACCCCTCGTGGTTCAAGGTGCGGCAGACACCCCTCGTGGTTCAAGGTGCGGCAGACACCCCTCCTGGTTCAAGGTGCGGCAGACACCCCTCGTGGTTCAAGGTGCGGCAGACACCCCTCGTGGTTCAAGGTGCGGCAGACACCCCTCGTGGTTCAAGGTGCGGCAGACACCCCTCGTGGTTCAAGGTGCGGTAGACACACCTCGTGGTTCAAGGTGCGGTAGACACCCCTCGTGGTTCAAGGTGCGGCAGACACCCCTCGTGGTTCAAGGTGCGGCAGACACCCCTCCTGGTTCAAGGTGCGGCAGACACCCCTCGTGGTTCAAGGTGCGGCAGACACCCCTCGTGGTTCAAGGTGCGGCAGACACCCCTCGTGGTTCAAGGTGCGGCAGACACCCCTCGTGGTTCAAGGTGCGGCAGACACCCCTCGTGGTTCAAGGTGCGGCAGACACCCCTCGTGGTTCAAGGTGCGGCAGACACCCCTCGTGGTTCAAGGTGCGGCAGACACCCCTCGTGGTTCAAGGTGCGGCAGACACCCCTCGTGGTTCAAGGTGCGGCAGACACCCCTCGTGGTTCAAGGTGCGGCAGACACCCCTCCTGGTTCAAGGTGCGGCAGACACCCCTCGTGGTTCAAGGTGCGGCAGACACCCCTCCTGGTTCAAGGTGCGGCAGACACCCCTCGTGGTTCAAGGTGCGGCAGACACCCCTCGTGGTTCAAGGTGCGGCAGACACCCCTCGTGGTTCAAGGTGCGGCAGACACCCCTCGTGGTTCAAGGTGCGGCAGACACCCCTCCTGGTTCAAGGTGCGCTGTCTTCCCTGCACAGCATGTCAAAACCCTTGGCCCAACATGTTGAATTCCGTTGCCATCCCCCGCTGCTCCACTCTGCTCTCTGTCTGCGGGCCCGTCCGACTTTTCTGCTGCTGCCAACGGCCAGTGCTTTCCCAATGCTCCTCAAACCCCATCCCTGCAACCCTCCATGCTTATTCGCTCACCCCATCCCGGCACCCTCTCTCCCCTGCGCCCCAGGTGCGCTTTCTGCAGCGGCAGCTGTCGTGCTGCTGCGAGTGGGCGTTCTTCCTGGACTCAGACGCCTACTTCCGCATGGACAACCACCGCCTATCTGTCCAAAGCTGGGTGGATCGTCTCACTCTGCCGGTGAGGCCGGGATGGGTTTGTTGGGAGACGCATGTCATTCCGCCGCCTGACACCTCTTCACCACACCAGCTCCCAGCCCCTCCCTTTCCGTGTTTGCATCAATCACTCCATTCCTTCCTCGACTCACACGCCTACTTCCGAATGCACAAGCACCGCCTCTCCGTGTACACCTGGGTCCACAGCCTCACCCTTCCCGTGGGTGAATGGCTGGATGGGTGAATGGCTGGATGGGTGAATGGCTGGATGGGTGAATGGCTGGATGGGTGAATGGCTGGATGGGTGAATGGCTGGATGGGTGAATGGCTGGATGGGTGAATGGCTGGACGGGTGAATGGCTGGACGGGTGAATGGCTGGACGGGTGAATGGCTGGACGGGTGAATGGCTGGATGGGTGAATGGCTGGACGGGTGAATGGCTGGATGGGTGAATGGCTGGATGGGTGAATGGCTGGACGGGTGAATGGCTGGATGGGTGAATGGCTGGATGGGTGAATGGCTGGATGGGTGAATGGCTGGACGGGTGAATGGCTGGACGGGTGAATGGCTGGATGGGTGAATGGCTGGATGGGTGAATGGCTGGATGGGTGAATGGCTGGATGGGTGAATGGCTGGATGGGTGAATGGCTGGATGGGTGAATGGCTGGATGGGTGAATGGCTGGATGGGTGAATGGCTGGACGGGTGAATGGCTGGACGGGTGAATGGCTGGACGGGTGAATGGCTGGACGGGTGAATGGCTGGACTGGATGGGTGAATGGCTGGATGGGTGAATGGCTGGATGGGTGAATGGCTGGATGGGTGAATGGCTGGATGGGTGAATGGCTGGATGGGTGAATGGCTGGATGGGTGAATGGCTGGATGGGTGAATGGCTGGACGGGTGAATGGCTGGACGGGTGAATGGCTGGACGGGTGAATGGCTGGACGGGTGAATGGCTGGACGGGTGAATGGCTGGACGGGTGAATGGCTGGACGGGTGAATGGCTGGACGGGTGAATGGCTGGACGGGTGAATGGCTGGATGGGTGAATGGCTGGATGGGTGAATGGCTGGACGGGTGAATGGCTGGACGGGTGAATGGCTGGACGGGTGAATGGCTGGACGGGTGAATGGCTGGACGGGTGAATGGCTGGACGGGTGAATGGCTGGACGGGTGAATGGCTGGACGGGTGAATGGCTGGATGGGTGAATGGCTGGACGGGTGAATGGCTGGACGGGTGAATGGCTGGACGGGTGAATGGCTGGACGGGTGAATGGCTGGATGGGTGAATGGCTGGGTGGTGCTGGGCTAGATGGGTGCATGGCTGCAAGGGTGCTGCAGGGGAGACACATGTCCTGCATGCACCTCTACTTGCACTTATAAGTGCACTGCCTCATTCTGCCCATCAGACCTGGGAGGGCCAACTCTTCTCACGCTCTACCACAGCTTTCAACTTCCATCAAGCCGCTTCAACATTCTTTCTCCCACCGTTTCTCCCCTTTTTCACCCCTTCCACACCCCGCCCACCCAGCACTACTTTGACTGGATCGCCCGTGACTACAACATCTCACTGGCCAACCAGACCTGGTTCCCGCGGCCCCCCTCCTCCATCTTCTCGCACTCCCCGCCCGCCTGCCCCCCACCACCTCGGGGGGAGGGGCATGGTGGGAGAGAGGGCGAGGCAGAAGAGGGAGAGAATTGGAGTGGGGGAGGAGGAGGGGAGGGGGAGAGCCGGGCGGCGGTGTGTGTGGTGGCGCCGCGGAACGACGATGAGGCGTCAGGGATGGCGGAGGGGCGCGCGGGGGCGCTGTTCAACGGCAGCATGGAGTATGTGAATGCGGGGGTCACCCTTTGGAGGCGCTCCCACCACTGTCTCAAGGTGCGTCTCAAAACGAGTAAGGAGGGGGGGCAGCGGGGTGGGGGGCGCTGTTCAACGGCAGCATGGAGTATGTGAATGCGGGGGTCACGCTGTGGCGCCGCTCGCCCCACTGCCTCAAGGTGCTGCTGCTCGCTGCTGTTGCCCCTGCTCCCCTGTGGCTGCACATTGCTCACTCATGGCACACAAGTCGTTGAGCCTGCCGTTGGCCATCACCCGACCCTTCACCCCCTGCTCGCTCATCTCCCCCACCCTCCCCTCCGCCACCCCCTCCTCTCGCACCCCTTCTCAGCTGCCTGCCAGCTGGCACGCGGAGCCGGCCAGGCATTATCTCGTCTCTCCTTTCCCTCTCTCCTTTCCCTCTCTCCTTTCCCCCTCTCCTTTCCCTCTCTCCTTTCCCTCTCTCCTTTCCCTCTCACCTTTCCCTCTCACCTTTCCCTCTCACCTTTCCCTCTCACCTTTCCCTCTCACCTTTCCTTCTCACCTTTCCCTCTCACCTTTCCCTCTCACCTTTCCCTCTCACCTTTCCCTCTCACCTTTCCCTCTCTCCTTTCCCTCTCTCCTTTCCCTCGCTTTTTTCCCTCTCACCTTTCCCTCTCTCCTTTCCCTTCTCACCTTTCCCTCTCACCTTTCCCTCTCACCTTTCCCTCTCACCTTTCCCTTCTCACCTTTCCCTCTCACCTTTCCCTCTCACCTTGCCCTCTCACCTTTCCCTCTCACCTTCTCCTCTCTCCTTCTCCTCTCCCCTCTTCCCTCTCCCCTGTCCCCTGTCCCCTGTCCCCTCCCCCCTGTCCCCTGTCCCCTGTCCCTCGTCCCCTGTGCCCTGTCCCCCCGCTCATTGCTCCATCCAATCCCTCTCCCACCCCCTCACAGCTGCTTGCCAGCTGGCACGAGGAGCCAGCGAGGCAGTACCTGTGGAGGCGCAACTGGGAGCAGCCGAGGCTGAACGTGCTGCTCGCCATGCCGCAGCACGTTGCTGACGTGGCAGTGGTGCCCTTCCGCGAGCTGACGGGGCACTCGGGGCGCGCCATCCGGCACCGCTGGCTCAACTCAATCATGACTGATGAGACTCGCAGTGATCTGGTAAAAGACGCGTTGCTAGGCAGCTTCTTGACAAGTTACATGTACATGTTTTGAAGAGGTGACCTTTGAGTCGACTCGAAGGCCATCTGGCACCGCTGGCTCAACTCAATCGTGACTGACGAGAAGCGCAGTGATCTTGTGAAAGATGTTATACTAGGCAGTTTCTTGACAAGTTACGTGTACATGTTTTGAAGTTCTAATAAGTATGAACGAAGTCTTGTGGGTGTGCCGTCTGAACGAGAAATGAGAGGGAATCAGAACTTCCCTTGTATTCAGCGCCCTAAGCTGTTGTTAAAAGATCATATGAAAAGCGGGGAGTTTGCAAACAGCGGTTCTGTGTATGTGAGGTTAGTGCGATACCGGTAGTACATCATACAAGTACATTACGCATGACTGAGGTAATGCGCCTCTCGCTAGTGCGGCCATGCGCTGCTTCTCAGCGCCATTCCTGCACGAGAGCATGCACTGCGCAGCATCGATCGAATGTGTGTGTGATGCCATTCTCCCAGCGCTCCACCTAGGAAGGACGAGGACCCCAGCAGCAGCTGCCAGTTTGCAGGCGGCTATCTGTAGCCACTGTGGGTGCCACAGGAGGCAGAGAAGACAAGTGACCCGGTGGGGGGCAAAAAGCGGCAAGTGAGGCCTGCTCGCGGTGCTCCATCCAGCAGCTGCAGGCTTGCATGCGGCTATCTCTAGTCACTGTGCGTGCCACAGGGGCAGGCATGAACTGAATGGGAGGCAAAACGGGGCAACAGAGAAGGAGAAGGAGCGATGGATGCTGGATAAAGCAAAAGCAGTGACTACAGTCAAGCGACCTCCTTGTGACATTGTAACGAGGTGACTTTTGAGTCGACCCAAAAGTCACCTCAGCTGCAGCCGGCTATCTCTAGTCAGTGTGGGTGCCACTGGAGCTGGCATTGAACCAGTGGGAGGCAAAGAGAGGCAACAGAGAAAGAGAAAGAGCCATTCATGCTGGTTAAAGCAAAAGCAGTTGCTACAGTCAAGCGATCTCCTCTTCCCAACATTAAACTTTTACCCTTCCCCCACCAACCCTCCTCCCCCCTCCACCCCCCTTCAACGAATAAGAATGGTGCCAGTCTTACCTGCCGGGGCCTCTCTTGCTGCCCCAAGAGCCTCAGCATCAACCTGCCAGAGCACCGGACGAAGCCTGCCCCAGCAGGGGACTCCCAAGCCTCCCATAGCATGCATCAGCTGCCCGCACCACCATGTGTCCACGCCGCTCCCAACGCACTCAAATCACACCCAAACCCTGCTTCTTCAATCACTCCCTCTCCAAAATGTGTGTGTAAAGCAGCTCGTTTCACGTGTCTGGAACGCTGGGTAAGCACCAATGCAGGCTGTCTTGTTGTGCCTTGGTTGTGCTGAATCGCGCATCCCAGCTGGCTGGGTGAGCGTCCCCACGGTACGCCGACAGGTGCGTGATGTGGAGAAGGTGTATCGATGTTCCGAACACTCCATCCTCCTTTTATGCATCCCTTGTTTTCATTTTGGCCACATCGGGATCCCCATACGGATGCTGCTATGCAAAGAAAGAAGAAAAAGCACAGCAAAGTTTACCTTGTGAGGTACCACATGAATGGATATAGAGTCATTGAAAATTAATCACAGAAGCTAGCGTCTACGCCATCATTACATACCTTGAGAAAGCCCTCTCCACTCCCACTCCCTCTCCCTTTCATGCCTTTTGAGGTGCCTCAAAAGCCCTCTCCACTCCCACTCCCCCTCCCTTTAATGCCTTTTGAGGCGCCTCAAAAGCCCTCTCCACTCCCACTCCCCCTCCCTTTAATGCCTTTTGAGGCGCCTCAAAAGCCCTCTCCACTCCCACTCCCCCTCCCTTTAATGCCTTTTGAGGCGCCTCAAAAGCCCTCTCCACTCCCACTCCCCCTCCCTTTAATGCCTTTTGAGGCGCCTCAAAAGCCCTCTCCACTCCCACTCCCTCTCCCTTTCATGCCTTTTGAGGTGCCTCAAAAGCCCTCTCCACTCCCACTCCCTCTCCCTTTCATGCCTTTTGAGGTGCCTCAAAAGCCCTCTCCACTCCCACTCCCTCTCCCTTTCATGCCTTTTGAGGTGCCTCAAAAGCCCTCTCCACTCCCACTCCCTCTCCCTTTCATGCCTTTTGAGGTGCCTCAAAAGCCCTCTCCACTCCCACTCCCCCTCCCTTTCATGCCTTTTGAGGTGCCTCAAAGCCCTCTCCACTCCCACTCCCTCTCCCTTTCATGCCTTTTGAGGTGCCTCAAAAGCCCTCTCCACTCCCACTCCCCCTCCCTTTCATGCCTTTTGAGGCGCCTCAAAAGCCCTCTCCACTCCCACTCCCCCTCCCTTTCATGCCTTTTGAGGCGCCTCAAAAGCCCTCTCCACTCCCACTCCCCCTCCCTTTCATGCCCTTTGAGGCGCCTCAAAAGCCCTCTCCACTCCCACTCCCCCTCCCTTTAATGCCTTTTGAGGCGCCTCAAAAGCCCTCTCCACTCCCACTCCCCCTCCCTTTAATGCCTTTTGAGGCGCCTCAAAAGCCCTCTCCACTCCCACTCCCTCTCCCTTTCATGCCTTTTGAGGTGCCTCAAAAGCCCTCTCCACTCCCACTCCCTCTCCCTTTCATGCCTTTTGAGGTGCCTCAAAAGCCCTCTCCACTCCCACTCCCTCTCCCTTTCATGCCTTTTGAGGTGCCTCAAAAGCCCTCTCCACTCCCACTCCCTCTCCCTTTCATGCCTTTTGAGGTGCCTCAAAAGCCCTCTCCACTCCCACTCCCCCTCCCTTTCATGCCTTTTGAGGTGCCTCAAAAGCCCTCTCCACTCCCACTCCCTCTCCCTTTCATGCCTTTTGAGGTGCCTCAAAAGCCCTCTCCACTCCCACTCCCCCTCCCTTTCATGCCTTTTGAGGCGCCTCAAAAGCCCTCTCCACTCCCACTCCCCCTCCCTTTCATGCCTTTTGAGGTGCCTCAAAAGCCCTCTCCACTCCCACTCCCTCTCCCTTTCATGCCTTTTGAGGTGCCTCAAAAGCCCTCTCCACTCCCACTCCCCCTCCCTTTCATGCCTTTTGAGGCGCCTCAAAAGCCCTCTCCACTCCCACTCCCCCTCCCTTTCATGCCTTTTGAGGCGCCTCAAAAGCCCTCTCCACTCCCACTCCCCCTCCCTTTCATGCCCTTTGAGGCGCCTCAAAAGCCCTCTCCACTCCCACTCCCCCTCCCTTTAATGCCTTTTGAGGCGCCTCAAAAGCCCTCTCCACTCCACTCCCCCTCCCTTTAATGCCTTTTGAGGCGCCTCAAAAGCCCTCTCCACTCCCACTCCCCCTCCCTTTAATGCCTTTTGAGGCGCCTCAAAAGCCCTCTCCACTCCCACTCCCTCTCCCTTTCATGCCTTTTGAGGTGCCTCAAAAGCCCTCTCCACTCCCACTCCCTCTCCCTTTCATGCCTTTTGAGGTGCCTCAAAAGCCCTCTCCACTCCCACTCCCTCTCCCTTTCATGCCTTTTGAGGTGCCTCAAAAGCCCTCTCCACTCCCACTCCCTCTCCCTTTCATGCCTTTTGAGGTGCCTCAAAAGCCCTCTCCACTCCCACTCCCTCTCCCTTTCATGCCTTTTGAGGTGCCTCAAAAGCCCTCTCCACTCCCACTCCCCCTCCCTTTCATGCCTTTTGAGGCGCCTCAAAAGCCCTCTCCACTCCCACTCCCCCTCCCTTTAATGCCTTTTGAGGCGCCTCAAAAGCCCTCTCCACTCCCACTCCCCCTCCCTTTAATGCCTTTTGAGGCGCCTCAAAAGCCCTCTCCACTCCCACTCCCTCTCCCTTTCATGCCTTTTGAGGTGCCTCAAAAGCCCTCTCCACTCCCACTCCCTCTCCCTTTCATGCCTTTTGAGGTGCCTCAAAAGCCCTCTCCACTCCCACTCCCTCTCCCTTTCATGCCTTTTGAGGTGCCTCAAAAGCCCTCTCCACTCCCACTCCCCCTCCCTTTCATGCCTTTTGAGGTGCCTCAAAAGCCCTCTCCACTCCCACTCCCTCTCCCTTTCATGCCTTTTGAGGTGCCTCAAAAGCCGTCTCCACTCCCACTCCCCCTCCCTTTCATGCCTTTTGAGGTGCCTCAAAAGCCCTCTCCACTCCCACTCCCTCTCCCTTTCATGCCTTTTGAGGTGCCTCAAAAGCCCTCTCCACTCCCACTCCCCCTCCCTTTCATGCCCTTTGAGGCGCCTCAAAAGCCCTCTCCACTCCCACTCCCCCTCCCTTTAATGCCTTTTGAGGCGCCTCAAAAGCCCTCTCCACTCCCACTCCCCGTCCCTTTAATGCCTTTTGAGGCGCCTCAAAAGCCCTCTCCACTCCCACTCCCCCTCCCTTTAATGCCTTTTGAGGCGCCTCAAAAGCCCTCTCCACTCCCACTCCCTCTCCCTTTCATGCCTTTTGAGGTGCCTCAAAAGCCCTCTCCACTCCCACTCCCTCTCCCTTTCATGCCTTTTGAGGTGCCTCAAAAGCCCTCTCCACTCCCACTCCCTCTCCCTTTCATGCCTTTTGAGGTGCCTCAAAAGCCCTCTCCACTCCCACTCCCCCTCCCTTTCATGCCTTTTGAGGTGCCTCAAAAGCCCTCTCCACTCCCACTCCCTCTCCCTTTCATGCCTTTTGAGGTGCCTCAAAAGCCCTCTCCACTCCCACTCCCCCTCCCTTTCATGCCTTTTGAGGTGCCTCAAAAGCCCTCTCCACTCCCACTCCCTCTCCCTTTCATGCCTTTTGAGGTGCCTCAAAAGCCCTCTCCACTCCCACTCCCTCTCCCTTTCATGCCTTTTGAGGTGCCTCAAAAGCCCTCTCCACTCCCACTCCCTCTCCCTTTCATGCCTTTTGAGGTACCTCAAAAGCCCTCTCCACTCCCACTCCCCCTCCCTTTCATGCCTTTTGAGGTGCCTCAAAAGCCCTCTCCACTCCCACTCCCCCTCCCTTTCATGCCTTTTGAGGTGCCTCAAAAGCCCTCTCCACTCCCACTCCCTCTCCCTTTCATGCCTTTTGAGGTGCCTCAAAAGCCGTCTCCACTCTCACTCCCCCTCCCTTTCATGCCTTTTGAGGTGCCTCAAAAGCCCTCTCCACTCCCACTCCCTCTCCCTTTCATGCCTTTTGAGGTGCCTCAAAAGCCCTCTCCACTCCCACTCCCCCTCCCTTTCATGCCCTTTGAGGCGCCTCAAAAGCCCTCTCCACTCCCACTCCCCCTCCCTTTAATGCCTTTTGAGGCGCCTCAAAAGCCCTCTCCACTCCCACTCCCCGTCCCTTTAATGCCTTTTGAGGCGCCTCAAAAGCCCTCTCCACTCCCACTCCCCCTCCCTTTCATGCCTTTTGAGGCGCCTCAAAAGCCCTCTCCACTCCCACTCCCCGTCCCTTTAATGCCTTTTGAGGCGCCTCAAAAGCCCTCTCCACTCCCACTCCCCCTCCCTTTAATGCCTTTTGAGGCGCCTCAAAAGCCCTCTCCACTCCCACTCCCTCTCCCTTTCATGCCTTTTGAGGTGCCTCAAAAGCCCTCTCCACTCCCACTCCCTCTCCCTTTCATGCCTTTTGAGGTGCCTCAAAAGCCCTCTCCACTCCCACTCCCTCTCCCTTTCATGCCTTTTGAGGTGCCTCAAAAGCCCTCTCCACTCCCACTCCCCCTCCCTTTCATGCCTTTTGAGGTGCCTCAAAAGCCCTCTCCACTCCCACTCCCTCTCCCTTTCATGCCTTTTGAGGTGCCTCAAAAGCCCTCTCCACTCCCACTCCCCCTCCCTTTCATGCCCTTTGAGGCGCCTCAAAAGCCCTCTCCACTCCCACTCCCCCTCCCTTTAATGCCTTTTGAGGCGCCTCAAAAGCCCTCTCCACTCCCACTCCCCGTCCCTTTAATGCCTTTTGAGGCGCCTCAAAAGCCCTCTCCACTCCCACTCCCCCTCCCTTTCATGCCTTTTGAGGCGCCTCAAAAGCCCTCTCCACTCCCACTCCCCCTCCCTTTAATGCCTTTTGAGGCGCCTCAAAAGCCCTCTCCACTCCCACTCCCCCTCCCTTTAATGCCTTTTGAGGCGCCTCAAAAGCCCTCTCCACTCCCACTCCCTCTCCCTTTCATGCCTTTTGAGGTGCCTCAAAAGCCCTCTCCACTCCCACTCCCTCTCCCTTTCATGCCTTTTGAGGTGCCTCAAAAGCCCTCTCCACTCCCACTCCCTCTCCCTTTCATGCCTTTTGAGGTGCCTCAAAAGCCCTCTCCACTCCCACTCCCCCTCCCTTTCATGCCTTTTGAGGTGCCTCAAAAGCCCTCTCCACTCCCACTCCCTCTCCCTTTCATGCCTTTTGAGGTGCCTCAAAAGCCGTCTCCACTCCCACTCCCCCTCCCTTTCATGCCTTTTGAGGTGCCTCAAAAGCCCTCTCCACTCCCACTCCCTCTCCCTTTCATGCCTTTTGAGGTGCCTCAAAAGCCCTCTCCACTCCCACTCCCCCTCCCTTTCATGCCCTTTGAGGCGCCTCAAAAGCCCTCTCCACTCCCACTCCCCCTCCCTTTAATGCCTTTTGAGGCGCCTCAAAAGCCCTCTCCACTCCCACTCCCCGTCCCTTTAATGCCTTTTGAGGCGCCTCAAAAGCCCTCTCCACTCCCACTCCCCCTCCCTTTAATGCCTTTTGAGGCGCCTCAAAAGCCCTCTCCACTCCCACTCCCTCTCCCTTTCATGCCTTTTGAGGTGCCTCAAAAGCCCTCTCCACTCCCACTCCCTCTCCCTTTCATGCCTTTTGAGGTGCCTCAAAAGCCCTCTCCACTCCCACTCCCTCTCCCTTTCATGCCTTTTGAGGTGCCTCAAAAGCCCTCTCCACTCCCACTCCCCTTCCCTTTCATGCCTTTTGAGGTGCCTCAAAAGCCCTCTCCACTCCCACTCCCTCTCCCTTTCATGCCTTTTGAGGTGCCTCAAAAGCCCTCTCCACTCCCACTCCCCTCCCTTTCATGCCTTTTGAGGCGCCTCAAAAGCCCTCTCCACTCCCACTCCCCCTCCCTTTAATGCCTTTTGAGGCGCCTCAAAAGCCCTCTCCACTCCCACTCCCCCTCCCTTTAATGCCTTTTGAGGCGCCTCAAAAGCCCTCTCCACTCCCACTCCCCCTCCCTTTAATGCCTTTTGAGGCGCCTCAAAAGCCCTCTCCACTCCCACTCCCTCTCCCTTTCATGCCTTTTGAGGTGCCTCAAAAGCCCTCTCCACTACCACTCCCTCTCCCTTTCATGCCTTTTGAGGTGCCTCAAAAGCCCTCTCCACTCCCACTCCCTCTCCCTTTCATGCCTTTTGAGGTGCCTCAAAAGCCCTCTCCACTACCACTCCCTCTCCCTTTCATGCCTTTTGAGGTGCCTCAAAAGCCCTCTCCACTCCCACTCCCTCTCCCTTTCATGCCTTTTGAGGTGCCTCAAAAGCCCTCTCCACTCCCACTCCCCCTCCCTTTCATGCCTTTTGAGGTGCCTCAAAAGCCCTCTCCACTCCCACTCCCTCTCCCTTTCATGCCTTTTGAGGTGCCTCAAAAGCCCTCTCCACTCCCACTCCCTCTCCCTTTCATGCCTTTTGAGGTGCCTCAAAAGCCCTCTCCACTCCCACTCCCTCTCCCTTTCATGCCTTTTGAGGTGCCTCAAAAGCCCTCTCCACTCCCACTCCCTCTCCCTTTCATGCCTTTTGAGGTACCTCAAAAGCCCTCTCCACTCCCACTCCCCCTCCCTTTCATGCCTTTTGAGGTGCCTCAAAAGCCCTCTCCACTCCCACTCCCTCTCCCTTTCATGCCTTTTGAGGTGCCTCAAAAGCCCTCTCCACTCCCACTCCCCCTCCCTTTCATGCCTTTTGAGGCGCCTCAAAAGCCCTCTCCACTCCCACTCCCTCTCCCTTTCATGCCTTTTGAGGTGCCTCAAAAGCCCTCTCCACTCCCACTCCCCTCCCTTTCATGCCTTTTGAGGCGCCTCAAAAGCCCTCTCCACTCCCACTCCCCCTCCCTTTAATGCCTTTTGAGGCGCCTCAAAAGCCCTCTCCACTCCCACTCCCCCTCCCTTTAATGCCTTTTGAGGCGCCTCAAAAGCCCTCTCCACTCCCACTCCCCCTCCCTTTAATGCCTTTTGAGGCGCCTCAAAAGCCCTCTCCACTCCCACTCCCTCTCCCTTTCATGCCTTTTGAGGTGCCTCAAAAGCCCTCTCCACTCCCACTCCCTCTCCCTTTCATGCCTTTTGAGGTGCCTCAAAAGCCCTCTCCACTCCCACTCCCTCTCCCTTTCATGCCTTTTGAGGTGCCTCAAAAGCCCTCTCCACTCCCACTCCCCCTCCCTTTCATGCCTTTTGAGGTGCCTCAAAAGCCCTCTCCACTCCCACTCCCTCTCCCTTTCATGCCTTTTGAGGTGCCTCAAAAGCCGTCTCCACTCCCACTCCCCCTCCCTTTCATGCCTTTTGAGGTGCCTCAAAAGCCCTCTCCACTCCCACTCCCTCTCCCTTTCATGCCTTTTGAGGTGCCTCAAAAGCCCTCTCCACTCCCACTCCCCCTCCCTTTCATGCCCTTTGAGGCGCCTCAAAAGCCCTCTCCACTCCCACTCCCCCTCCCTTTAATGCCTTTTGAGGCGCCTCAAAAGCCCTCTCCACTCCCACTCCCCCTCCCTTTAATGCCTTTTGAGGCGCCTCAAAAGCCCTCTCCACTCCCACTCCCCCTCCCTTTAATGCCTTTTGAGGCGCCTCAAAAGCCCTCTCCACTCCCACTCCCTCTCCCTTTCATGCCTTTTGAGGTGCCTCAAAAGCCCTCTCCACTCCCACTCCCTCTCCCTTTCATGCCTTTTGAGGTGCCTCAAAAGCCCTCTCCACTCCCACTCCCTCTCCCTTTCATGCCTTTTGAGGTGCCTCAAAAGCCCTCTCCACTCCCACTCCCCCTCCCTTTCATGCCTTTTGAGGTGCCTCAAAAGCCCTCTCCACTCCCACTCCCTCTCCCTTTCATGCCTTTTGAGGTGCCTCAAAAGCCCTCTCCACTCCCACTCCCCCTCCCTTTCATGCCTTTTGAGGTGCCTCAAAAGCCCTCTCCACTCCCACTCCCTCTCCCTTTCATGCCTTTTGAGGTGCCTCAAAAGCCCTCTCCACTCCCACTCCCTCTCCCTTTCATGCCTTTTGAGGTGCCTCAAAAGCCCTCTCCACTCCCACTCCCTCTCCCTTTCATGCCTTTTGAGGTGCCTCAAAAGCCCTCTCCACTCCCACTCCCTCTCCCTTTCATGCCTTTTGAGGTGCCTCAAAAGCCCTCTCCACTCCCACTCCCCCTCCCTTTCATGCCTTTTGAGGTGCCTCAAAAGCCCTCTCCACTCCCACTCCCTCTCCCTTTCATGCCTTTTGAGGTGCCTCAAAAGCCCTCTCCACTCCCACTCCCCTCCCTTTCATGCCTTTTGAGGCGCCTCAAAAGCCCTCTCCACTCCCACTCCCCCTCCCTTTAATGCCTTTTGAGGCGCCTCAAAAGCCCTCTCCACTCCCACTCCCCCTCCCTTTAATGCCTTTTGAGGCGCCTCAAAAGCCCTCTCCACTCCCACTCCCCCTCCCTTTAATGCCTTTTGAGGCGCCTCAAAAGCCCTCTCCACTCCCACTCCCTCTCCCTTTCATGCCTTTTGAGGTGCCTCAAAAGCCCTCTCCACTACCACTCCCTCTCCCTTTCATGCCTTTTGAGGTGCCTCAAAAGCCCTCTCCACTCCCACTCCCTCTCCCTTTCATGCCTTTTGAGGTGCCTCAAAAGCCCTCTCCACTACCACTCCCTCTCCCTTTCATGCCTTTTGAGGTGCCTCAAAAGCCCTCTCCACTCCCACTCCCTCTCCCTTTCATGCCTTTTGAGGTGCCTCAAAAGCCCTCTCCACTCCCACTCCCCCTCCCTTTCATGCCTTTTGAGGTGCCTCAAAAGCCCTCTCCACTCCCACTCCCTCTCCCTTTCATGCCTTTTGAGGTGCCTCAAAAGCCCTCTCCACTCCCACTCCCTCTCCCTTTCATGCCTTTTGAGGTACCTCAAAAGCCCTCTCCACTCCCACTCCCTCTCCCTTTCATGCCTTTTGAGGTGCCTCAAAAGCCCTCTCCACTCCCACTCCCTCTCCCTTTCATGCCTTTTGAGGTACCTCAAAAGCCCTCTCCACTCCCACTCCCCCTCCCTTTCATGCCTTTTGAGGTGCCTCAAAAGCCCTCTCCACTCCCACTCCCTCTCCCTTTCATGCCTTTTGAGGTGCCTCAAAAGCCCTCTCCACTCCCACTCCCCCTCCCTTTCATGCCTTTTGAGGCGCCTCAAAAGCCCTCTCCACTCCCACTCCCCCTCCCTTTAATGCCTTTTGAGGCGCCTCAAAAGCCCTCTCCACTCCCACTCCCCCTCCCTTTAATGCCTTTTGAGGCGCCTCAAAAGCCCTCTCCACTCCCACTCCCCCTCCCTTTAATGCCTTTTGAGGCGCCTCAAAAGCCCTCTCCACTCCCACTCCCTCTCCCTTTCATGCCTTTTGAGGTGCCTCAAAAGCCCTCTCCACTCCCACTCCCCCTCCCTTTAATGCCTTTTGAGGCGCCTCAAAAGCCCTCTCCACTCCCACTCCCCCTCCCTTTAATGCCTTTTGAGGCGCCTCAAAAGCCCTCTCCACTCCCACTCCCCCTCCCTTTAATGCCTTTTGAGGCGCCTCAAAAGCCCTCTCCACTCCCACTCCCCCTCCCTTTAATGCCTTTTGAGGCGCCTCAAAAGCCCTCTCCACTCCCACTCCCTCTCCCTTTCATGCCTTTTGAGGTGCCTCAAAAGCCCTCTCCACTCCCACTCCCTCTCCCTTTCATGCCTTTTGAGGTGCCTCAAAAGCCCTCTCCACTCCCACTCCCTCTCCCTTTCATGCCTTTTGAGGTGCCTCAAAAGCCCTCTCCACTCCCACTCCCCCTCCCTTTCATGCCCTTTGAGGCGCCTCAAAAGCCCTCTCCACTCCCACTCCCCCTCCCTTTAATGCCTTTTGAGGCGCCTCAAAAGCCCTCTCCACTCCCACTCCCCCTCCCTTTAATGCCTTTTGAGGCGCCTCAAAAGCCCTCTCCACTCCCACTCCCCTCCCTTTCATGCCTTTTGAGGCGCCTCAAAAGCCCTCTCCACTCCCACTCCCCCTCCCTTTAATGCCTTTTGAGGCGCCTCAAAAGCCCTCTCCACTCCCACTCCCCCTCCCTTTAATGCCTTTTGAGGCGCCTCAAAAGCCCTCTCCACTCCCACTCCCCCTCCCTTTAATGCCTTTTGAGGCGCCTCAAAAGCCCTCTCCACTCCCACTCCCTCTCCCTTTCATGCCTTTTGAGGTGCCTCAAAAGCCCTCTCCACTACCACTCCCTCTCCCTTTCATGCCTTTTGAGGTGCCTCAAAAGCCCTCTCCACTCCCACTCCCTCTCCCTTTCATGCCTTTTGAGGTGCCTCAAAAGCCCTCTCCACTACCACTCCCTCTCCCTTTCATGCCTTTTGAGGTGCCTCAAAAGCCCTCTCCACTCCCACTCCCTCTCCCTTTCATGCCTTTTGAGGTGCCTCAAAAGCCCTCTCCACTACCACTCCCTCTCCCTTTCATGCCTTTTGAGGTGCCTCAAAAGCCCTCTCCACTCCCACTCCCTCTCCCTTTCATGCCTTTTGAGGTGCCTCAAAAGCCCTCTCCACTACCACTCCCTCTCCCTTTCATGCCTTTTGAGGTGCCTCAAAAGCCCTCTCCACTCCCACTCCCTCTCCCTTTCATGCCTTTTGAGGTGCCTCAAAAGCCCTCTCCACTCCCACTCCCCCTCCCTTTCATGCCTTTTGAGGTGCCTCAAAAGCCCTCTCCACTCCCACTCCCTCTCCCTTTCATGCCTTTTGAGGTGCCTCAAAAGCCCTCTCCACTCCCACTCCCTCTCCCTTTCATGCCTTTTGAGGTACCTCAAAAGCCCTCTCCACTCCCACTCCCTCTCCCTTTCATGCCTTTTGAGGTGCCTCAAAAGCCCTCTCCACTCCCACTCCCTCTCCCTTTCATGCCTTTTGAGGTACCTCAAAAGCCCTCTCCACTCCCACTCCCCCTCCCTTTCATGCCTTTTGAGGTGCCTCAAAAGCACTCTCCACTCCCACTCCCTCTCCCTTTCATGCCTTTTGAGGTGCCTCAAAAGCCCTCTCCACTCCCACTCCCCCTCCCTTTCATGCCTTTTGAGGCGCCTCAAAAGCCCTCTCCACTCCCACTCCCCCTCCCTTTAATGCCTTTTGAGGCGCCTCAAAAGCCCTCTCCACTCCCACTCCCCCTCCCTTTAATGCCTTTTGAGGCGCCTCAAAAGCCCTCTCCACTCCCACTCCCCCTCCCTTTAATGCCTTTTGAGGCGCCTCAAAAGCCCTCTCCACTCCCACTCCCTCTCCCTTTCATGCCTTTTGAGGTGCCTCAAAAGCCCTCTCCACTCCCACTCCCTCTCCCTTTCATGCCTTTTGAGGTGCCTCAAAAGCCCTCTCCACTCCCACTCCCCCTCCCTTTCATGCCTTTTGAGGCGCCTCAAAAGCCCTCTCCACTCCCACTCCCCCTCCCTTTAATGCCTTTTGAGGCGCCTCAAAAGCCCTCTCCACTCCCACTCCCCCTCCCTTTAATGCCTTTTGAGGCGCCTCAAAAGCCCTCTCCACTCCCACTCCCCCTCCCTTTCATGCCTTTTGAGGTGCCTCAAAAGCCCTCTCCACTCCCACTCCCTCTCCCTTTCATGCCTTTTGAGGTGCCTCAAAAGCCCTCTCCACTCCCACTCCCCCTCCCTTTCATGCCTTTTGAGGTGCCTCAAAAGCCCTCTCCACTCCCACTCCCTCTCCCTTTCATGCCTTTTGAGGTGCCTCAAAAGCCCTCTCCACTCCCACTCCCCCTCCCTTTCATGCCTTTTGAGGCGCCTCAAAAGCCCTCTCCACTCCCACTCCCCCTCCCTTTAATGCCTTTTGAGGCGCCTCAAAAGCCCTCTCCACTCCCACTCCCCCTCCCTTTAATGCCTTTTGAGGCGCCTCAAAAGCCCTCTCCACTCCCACTCCCTCTCCCTTTCATGCCTTTTGAGGTGCCTCAAAAGCCCTCTCCACTCCCACTCCCTCTCCCTTTCATGCCTTTTGAGGTGCCTCAAAAGCCCTCTCCACTCCCACTCCCTCTCCCTTTCATGCCTTTTGAGGTGCCTCAAAAGCCCTCTCCACTCCCACTCCCCCTCCCTTTCATGCCTTTTGAGGCGCCTCAAAAGCCCTCTCCACTCCCACTCCCCCTCCCTTTCATGCCTTTTGAGGCGCCTCAAAAGCCCTCTCCACTCCCACTCCCCCTCCCTTTAATGCCTTTTGAGGCGCCTCAAAAGCCCTCTCCACTCCCACTCCCTCTCCCTTTCATGCCTTTTGAGGTGCCTCAAAAGCCCTCTCCACTCCCACTCCCTCTCCCTTTCATGCCTTTTGAGGTGCCTCAAAATCCCTCTCCACTCCCACTCCCTCTCCCTTTCATGCCTTTTGAGGTGCCTCAAAAGCCCTCTCCACTCCCACTCCCCCTCCCTTTAATGCCTTTTGAGGCGCCTCAAAAGCCCTCTCCACTCCCACTCCCTCTCCCTTTCATGCCTTTTGAGGTGCCTCAAAAGCCCTCTCCACTCCCACTCCCTCTCCCTTTCATGCCTTTTGAGGTGCCTCAAAAGCCATCTCCACTCCCACTCCCTCTCCCTTTCATGCCTTTTGAGGTGCCTCAAAAGCCCTCTCCACTCCCACTCCCCCTCCCTTTCATGCCTTTTGAGGCGCCTCAAAAGCCCTCTCCACTCCCACTCCCCCTCCCTTTAATGCCTTTTGAGGCGCCTCAAAAGCCCTCTCCACTCCCACTCCCCCTCCCTTTATTGCCTTTTGAGGCGCCTCAAAAGCCCTCTCCACTCCCACTCCCTCTCCCTTTCATGCCTTTTGAGGTGCCTCAAAAGCCCTCTCCACTCCCACTCCCTCTCCCTTTCATGCCTTTTGAGGTGCCTCAAAAGCCCTCTCCACTCCCACTCCCTCTCCCTTTCATGCCTTTTGAGGTGCCTCAAAAGCCCTCTCCACTCCCACTCCCCCTCCCTTTCATGCCTTTTGAGGTGCCTCAAAAGCCCTCTCCACTCCCACTCCCTCTCCCTTTCATGCCTTTTGAGGTGCCTCAAAAGCCCTCTCCACTCCCACTCCCCCTCCCTTTCATGCCTTTTGAGGTGCCTCAAAAGCCCTCTTCACTCCCACTCCCTCTCCCTTTCATGCCTTTTGAGGTGCCTCAAAAGCCCTCTCCACTCCCACTCCCCCTCCCTTTCATGCCTTTTGAGGCGCCTCAAAAGCCCTCTCCACTCCCACTCCCCCTCCCTTTAATGCCTTTTGAGGCGCCTCAAAAGCCCTCTCCACTCCCACTCCCTCTCCCTTTCATGCCTTTTGAGGTGCCTCAAAAGCCCTCTCCACTCCCACTCCCTCTCCCTTTCATGCCTTTTGAGGTGCCTCAAAAGCCCTCTCCACTCCCACTCCCTCTCCCTTTCATGCCTTTTGAGGTGCCTCAAAAGCCCTCTCCACTCCCACTCCCTCTCCCTTTCATGCCTTTTGAGGTGCCTCAAAAGCCCTCTCCACTCCCACTCCCCCTCCCTTTCATGCCTTTTGAGGTGCCTCAAAAGCCCTCTCCACTCCCACTCCCTCTCCCTTTCATGCCTTTTGAGGTGCCTCAAAAGCCCTCTCCACTCCCACTCCCCCTCCCTTTCATGCCTTTTGAGGCGCCTCAAAAGCCCTCTCCACTCCCACTCCCCCTCCCTTTAATGCCTTTTGAGGCGCCTCAAAAGCCCTCTCCACTCCCACTCCCCCTCCCTTTAATGCCTTTTGAGGCGCCTCAAAAGCCCTCTCCACTCCCGCTCCCCCTCCCTTTAATGCCTTTTGAGGCGCCTCAAAAGCCCTCTCCACTCCCACTCCCCCTCCCTTTCATGCCTTTTGAGGCGCCTCAAAAGCCCTCTCCACTCCCACTCCCCCTCCCTTTAATGGCTTTTGAGGCGCCTCAAAAGCCCTCTCCACTCCCACTCCCCCTCCCTTTAATGCCTTTTGAGGCGCCTCAAAAGCCCTCTCCACTCCCACTCCCCCTCCCTTTCATGCCTTTTGAGGCGCCTCAAAAGCCCTCTCCACTCCCACTCCCCCTCCCTTTCATGCCTTTTGAGGTGCCTCAAAAGCCCTCTCCACTCCCACTCCCTCTCCCTTTCATGCCTTTTGAGGTGCCTCAAAAGCCCTCTCCACTCCCACTCCCCCTCCCTTTCATGCCTTTTGAGGCGCCTCAAAAGCCCTCTCCACTCCCACTCCCCCTCCCTTTAATGCCTTTTGAGGCGCCTCAAAAGCCCTCTCCACTCCCACTCCCCCTCCCTTTAATGCCTTTTGAGGCGCCTCAAAAGCCCTCTCCACTCCCACTCCCCCTCCCTTTAATGCCTTTTGAGGCGCCTCAAAAGCCCTCTCCGCTCCCACTCCCTCTCCCTTTCATGCCTTTTGAGGTGCCTCAAAAGCCCTCTCCACTCCCACTCCCCCTCCCTTTCATGCCTTTTGAGGCGCCTCAAAAGCCCTCTCCACTCCCACTCCCCCTCCCTTTAATGCCTTTTGAGGCGCCTCAAAAGCCCTCTCCACTCCCACTCCCCCTCCCTTTAATGCCTTTTGAGGCGCCTCAAAAGCCCTCTCCACTCCCACTCCCCCTCCCTTTCATGCCTTTTGAGGCGCCTCAAAAGCCCTCTCCACTCCCACTCCCCCTCCCTTTCATGCCTTTTGAGGTGCCTCAAAAGCCCTCTCCACTCCCACTCCCTCTCCCTTTCATGCCTTTTGAGGTGCCTCAAAAGCCCTCTCCACTCCCACTCCCCCTCCCTTTAATGCCTTTTGAGGCGCCTCAAAAGCCCTCTCCACTCCCACTCCCCCTCCCTTTAATGCCTTTTGAGGCGCCTCAAAAGCCCTCTCCACTCCCACTCCCCCTCCCTTTAATGCCTTTTGAGGCGCCTCAAAAGCCCTCTCCGCTCCCACTCCCTCTCCCTTTCATGCCTTTTGAGGTGCCTCAAAAGCCCTCTCCACTCCCACTCCCCCTCCCTTTCATGCCTTTTGAGGCGCCTCAAAAGCCCTCTCCACTCCCACTCCCCCTCCCTTTAATGCCTTTTGAGGCGCCTCAAAAGCCCTCTCCACTCCCACTCCCCCTCCCTTTAATGCCTTTTGAGGCGCCTCAAAAGCCCTCTCCACTCCCACTCCCCCTCCCTTTCATGCCTTTTGAGGTGCCTCAAAAGCCCTCTCCACTCCCACTCCCTCTCCCTTTCATGCCTTTTGAGGTGCCTTAAAAGCCCTCTCCACTCCCACTCCCCCTCCCTTTCATGCCTTTTGAGGTGCCTCAAAAGCCCTCTCCACTCCCACTCCCCCTCCCTTTCATGCCTTTTGAGGCGCCTCAAAAGCCCTCTCCACTCCCACTCCCCCTCCCTTTCATGCCCTTTGAGGCGCCTCAAAAGCCCTCTCCACTCCCACTCCCCCTCCCTTTAATGCCTTTTGAGGCGCCTCAAAAGCCCTCTCCACTCCCACTCCCTCTCCCTTTCATGCCTTTTGAGGTGCCTCAAAAGCCCTCTCCACTCCCACTCCCCCTCCCTTTCATGCCTTTTGAGGCGCCTCAAAAGCCCTCTCCACTCCCACTCCCCCTCCCTTTAATGCCTTTTGAGGCGCCTCAAAAGCCCTCTCCACTCCCACTCCCTCTCCCTTTCATGCCTTTTGAGGTGCCTCAAAAGCCCTCTCCACTCCCACTCCCCCTCCCTTTCATGCCTTTTGAGGCGCCTCAAAAGCCCTCTCCACTCCCACTCCCCCTCCCTTTAATGCCTTTTGAGGCGCCTCAAAAGCCCTCTCCACTCCCACTCCCCCTCCCTTTAATGCCTTTTGAGGCGCCTCAAAAGCCCTCTCCACTCCCACTCCCCCTCCCTTTCATGCCTTTTGAGGTGCCTCAAAAGCCCTCTCCACTCCCACTCCCTCTCCCTTTCATGCCTTTTGAGGTGCCTTAAAAGCCCTCTCCACTCCCACTCCCCCTCCCTTTCATGCCTTTTGAGGTGCCTCAAAAGCCCTCTCCACTCCCACTCCCCCTCCCTTTCATGCCTTTTGAGGCGCCTCAAAAGCCCTCTCCACTCCCACTCCCCCTCCCTTTCATGCCCTTTGAGGCGCCTCAAAAGCCCTCTCCACTCCCACTCCCCCTCCCTTTAATGCCTTTTGAGGCGCCTCAAAAGCCCTCTCCACTCCCACTCCCTCTCCCTTTCATGCCTTTTGAGGTGCCTCAAAAGCCCTCTCCACTCCCACTCCCCCTCCCTTTCATGCCTTTTGAGGCGCCTCAAAAGCCCTCTCCACTCCCACTCCCCCTCCCTTTAATGCCTTTTGAGGCGCCTCAAAAGCCCTCTCCACTCCCACTCCCCCTCCCTTTAATGCCTTTTGAGGCGCCTCAAAAGCCCTCTCCACTCCCACTCCCCCTCCCTTTCATGCCTTTTGAGGCGCCTCAAAAGCCCTCTCCACTCCCACTCCCCCTCCCTTTCATGCCCTTTGAGGCGCCTCAAAAGCCCTCTCCACTCCCACTCCCCCTCCCTTTAATGCCTTTTGAGGCGCCTCAAAAGCCCTCTCCACTCCCACTCCCCCTCCCTTTAATGCCTTTTGAGGCGCCTCAAAAGCCCTCTCCACTCCCACTCCCCCTCCCTTTAATGCCTTTTGAGGCGCCTCAAAAGCCCTCTCCACTCCCACTCCCTCTCCCTTTCATGCCTTTTGAGGTGCCTCAAAAGCCCTCTCCACTCCCACTCCCCCTCCCTTTCATGCCTTTTGAGGCGCCTCAAAAGCCCTCTCCACTCCCACTCCCCCTCCCTTTAATGCCTTTTGAGGCGCCTCAAAAGCCCTCTCCACTCCCACTCCCCCTCCCTTTAATGCCTTTTGAGGCGCCTCAAAAGCCCTCTCCACTCCCACTCCCCCTCCCTTTAATGCCTTTTGAGGCGCCTCAAAAGCCCTCTCCACTCCCACTCACCCTCCCTTTAATGCCTTTTGAGGCGCCTCAAAAGCCCTCTCCACTCCCACTCCCCCTCCCTTTCATGCCTTTTGAGGCGCCTCAAAAGCCCTCTCCACTCCCACTCCCCCTCCCTTGAATGCCTTTTGAGGCGCCTCAAAAGCCCTCTCCACTCCCACTCCCCCTCCCTTTAATGCCTTTTGAGGCGCCTCAAAAGCCCTCTCCACTCCCACTCCCCCTCCCTTTAATGCCTTTTGAGGCGCCTCAAAAGCCCTCTCCACTCCCACTCCCCCTCCCTTTAATGCCTTTTGAGGCGCCTCAAAAGCCCTCTCCACTCCCACTCCCTCTCCCTTTCATGCCTTTTGAGGTGCCTCAAAAGCCCTCTCCACTCCCACTCCCCCTCCCTTTCATGCCTTTTGAGGCGCCTCAAAAGCCCTCTCCACTCCCACTCCCCCTCCCTTTAATGCCTTTTGAGGCGCCTCAAAAGCCCTCTCCACTCCCACTCCCCCTCCCTTTAATGCCTTTTGAGGCGCCTCAAAAGCCCTCTCCACTCCCACTCCCCCTCCCTTTCATGCCTTTTGAGGCGCCTCAAAAGCCCTCTCCACTCCCACTCCCCCTCCCTTTCATGCCTTTTGAGGTGCCTCAAAAGCCCTCTCCACTCCCACTCCCTCTCCCTTTCATGCCTTTTGAGGTGCCTCAAAAGCCCTCTCCACTCCCACTCCCCCTCCCTTTCATGCCTTTTGAGGCGCCTCAAAAGCCCTCTCCACTCCCACTCCCCCTCCCTTTAATGCCTTTTGAGGCGCCTCAAAAGCCCTCTCCACTCCCACTCCCCCTCCCTTTAATGCCTTTTGAGGCGCCTCAAAAGCCCTCTCCACTCCCACTCCCCCTCCCTTTCATGCCTTTTGAGGCGCCTCAAAAGCCCTCTCCACTCCCACTCCCCCTCCCTTGAATGCCTTTTGAGGCGCCTCAAAAGCCCTCTCCACTCCCACTCCCCCTCCCTTTAATGCCTTTTGAGGCGCCTCAAAAGCCCTCTCCACTCCCACTCCCCCTCCCTTTAATGCCTTTTGAGGCGCCTCAAAAGCCCTCTCCACTCCCACTCCCCCTCCCTTTAATGCCTTTTGAGGCGCCTCAAAAGCCCTCTCCACTCCCACTCCCTCTCCCTTTCATGCCTTTTGAGGTGCCTCAAAAGCCCTCTCCACTCCCACTCCCCCTCCCTTTCATGCCTTTTGAGGCGCCTCAAAAGCCCTCTCCACTCCCACTCCCCCTCCCTTTAATGCCTTTTGAGGCGCCTCAAAAGCCCTCTCCACTCCCACTCCCCCTCCCTTTAATGCCTTTTGAGGCGCCTCAAAAGCCCTCTCCACTCCCACTCCCCCTCCCTTTCATGCCTTTTGAGGCGCCTCAAAAGCCCTCTCCACTCCCACTCCCCCTCCCTTTCATGCCTTTTGAGGTGCCTCAAAAGCCCTCTCCACTCCCACTCCCTCTCCCTTTCATGCCTTTTGAGGTGCCTCAAAAGCCCTCTCCACTCCCACTCCCCCTCCCTTTCATGCCTTTTGAGGCGCCTCAAAAGCCCTCTCCACTCCCACTCCCCCTCCCTTTAATGCCTTTTGAGGCGCCTCAAAAGCCCTCTCCACTCCCACTCCCCCTCCCTTTAATGCCTTTTGAGGCGCCTCAAAAGCCCTCTCCACTCCCACTCCCTCTCCCTTTCATGCCTTTTGAGGTGCCTCAAAAGCCCTCTCCACTCCCACTCCCCCTCCCTTTAATGCCTTTTGAGGCGCCTCAAAAGCCCTCTCCACTCCCACTCCCCCTCCCTTTAATGCCTTTTGAGGCGCCTCAAAAGCCCTCTCCACTCCCACTCCCTCTCCCTTTCATGCCTTTTGAGGTGCCTCAAAAGCCCTCTCCACTCCCACTCCCCCTCCCTTTCATGCCTTTTGAGGCGCCTCAAAAGCCCTCTCCACTCCCACTCCCCCTCCCTTTAATGCCTTTTGAGGCGCCTCAAAAGCCCTCTCCACTCCCACTCCCCCTCCCTTTAATGCCTTTTGAGGCGCCTCAAAAGCCCTCTCCACTCCCACTCCCCCTCCCTTTCATGCCTTTTGAGGTGCCTCAAAAGCCCTCTCCACTCCCACTCCCTCTCCCTTTCATGCCTTTTGAGGTGCCTTAAAAGCCCTCTCCACTCCCACTCCCCCTCCCTTTCATGCCTTTTGAGGTGCCTCAAAAGCCCTCTCCACTCCCACTCCCCCTCCCTTTCATGCCTTTTGAGGCGCCTCAAAAGCCCTCTCCACTCCCACTCCCCCTCCCTTTCATGCCCTTTGAGGCGCCTCAAAAGCCCTCTCCACTCCCACTCCCCCTCCCTTTAATGCCTTTTGAGGCGCCTCAAAAGCCCTCTCCACTCCCACTCCCTCTCCCTTTCATGCCTTTTGAGGTGCCTCAAAAGCCCTCTCCACTCCCACTCCCCCTCCCTTTCATGCCTTTTGAGGCGCCTCAAAAGCCCTCTCCACTCCCACTCCCCCTCCCTTTAATGCCTTTTGAGGCGCCTCAAAAGCCCTCTCCACTCCCACTCCCTCTCCCTTTCATGCCTTTTGAGGTGCCTCAAAAGCCCTCTCCACTCCCACTCCCCCTCCCTTTCATGCCTTTTGAGGCGCCTCAAAAGCCCTCTCCACTCCCACTCCCCCTCCCTTTAATGCCTTTTGAGGCGCCTCAAAAGCCCTCTCCACTCCCACTCCCCCTCCCTTTAATGCCTTTTGAGGCGCCTCAAAAGCCCTCTCCACTCCCACTCCCCCTCCCTTTCATGCCTTTTGAGGTGCCTCAAAAGCCCTCTCCACTCCCACTCCCTCTCCCTTTCATGCCTTTTGAGGTGCCTTAAAAGCCCTCTCCACTCCCACTCCCCCTCCCTTTCATGCCTTTTGAGGTGCCTCAAAAGCCCTCTCCACTCCCACTCCCCCTCCCTTTCATGCCTTTTGAGGCGCCTCAAAAGCCCTCTCCACTCCCACTCCCCCTCCCTTTCATGCCCTTTGAGGCGCCTCAAAAGCCCTCTCCACTCCCACTCCCCCTCCCTTTAATGCCTTTTGAGGCGCCTCAAAAGCCCTCTCCACTCCCACTCCCTCTCCCTTTCATGCCTTTTGAGGTGCCTCAAAAGCCCTCTCCACTCCCACTCCCCCTCCCTTTCATGCCTTTTGAGGCGCCTCAAAAGCCCTCTCCACTCCCACTCCCCCTCCCTTTAATGCCTTTTGAGGCGCCTCAAAAGCCCTCTCCACTCCCACTCCCCCTCCCTTTAATGCCTTTTGAGGCGCCTCAAAAGCCCTCTCCACTCCCACTCCCCCTCCCTTTCATGCCTTTTGAGGCGCCTCAAAAGCCCTCTCCACTCCCACTCCCCCTCCCTTTCATGCCCTTTGAGGCGCCTCAAAAGCCCTCTCCACTCCCACTCCCCCTCCCTTTAATGCCTTTTGAGGCGCCTCAAAAGCCCTCTCCACTCCCACTCCCCCTCCCTTTAATGCCTTTTGAGGCGCCTCAAAAGCCCTCTCCACTCCCACTCCCCCTCCCTTTAATGCCTTTTGAGGCGCCTCAAAAGCCCTCTCCACTCCCACTCCCTCTCCCTTTCATGCCTTTTGAGGTGCCTCAAAAGCCCTCTCCACTCCCACTCCCCCTCCCTTTCATGCCTTTTGAGGCGCCTCAAAAGCCCTCTCCACTCCCACTCCCCCTCCCTTTAATGCCTTTTGAGGCGCCTCAAAAGCCCTCTCCACTCCCACTCCCCCTCCCTTTAATGCCTTTTGAGGCGCCTCAAAAGCCCTCTCCACTCCCACTCCCCCTCCCTTTAATGCCTTTTGAGGCGCCTCAAAAGCCCTCTCCACTCCCACTCACCCTCCCTTTAATGCCTTTTGAGGCGCCTCAAAAGCCCTCTCCACTCCCACTCCCCCTCCCTTTAATGCCTTTTGAGGCGCCTCAAAAGCCCTCTCCACTCCCACTCCCCCTCCCTTTCATGCCTTTTGAGGCGCCTCAAAAGCCCTCTCCACTCCCACTCCCCCTCCCTTGAATGCCTTTTGAGGCGCCTCAAAAGCCCTCTCCACTCCCACTCCCCCTCCCTTTAATGCCTTTTGAGGCGCCTCAAAAGCCCTCTCCACTCCCACTCCCCCTCCCTTTAATGCCTTTTGAGGCGCCTCAAAAGCCCTCTCCACTCCCACTCCCCCTCCCTTTAATGCCTTTTGAGGCGCCTCAAAAGCCCTCTCCACTCCCACTCCCTCTCCCTTTCATGCCTTTTGAGGTGCCTCAAAAGCCCTCTCCACTCCCACTCCCCCTCCCTTTCATGCCTTTTGAGGCGCCTCAAAAGCCCTCTCCACTCCCACTCCCCCTCCCTTTAATGCCTTTTGAGGCGCCTCAAAAGCCCTCTCCACTCCCACTCCCCCTCCCTTTAATGCCTTTTGAGGCGCCTCAAAAGCCCTCTCCACTCCCACTCCCCCTCCCTTTCATGCCTTTTGAGGCGCCTCAAAAGCCCTCTCCACTCCCACTCCCCCTCCCTTTCATGCCTTTTGAGGTGCCTCAAAAGCCCTCTCCACTCCCACTCCCTCTCCCTTTCATGCCTTTTGAGGTGCCTCAAAAGCCCTCTCCACTCCCACTCCCCCTCCCTTTCATGCCTTTTGAGGCGCCTCAAAAGCCCTCTCCACTCCCACTCCCCCTCCCTTTAATGCCTTTTGAGGCGCCTCAAAAGCCCTCTCCACTCCCACTCCCCCTCCCTTTAATGCCTTTTGAGGCGCCTCAAAAGCCCTCTCCACTCCCACTCCCTCTCCCTTTCATGCCTTTTGAGGTGCCTCAAAAGCCCTCTCCACTCCCACTCCCCCTCCCTTTCATGCCTTTTGAGGCGCCTCAAAAGCCCTCTCCACTCCCACTCCCCCTCCCTTTAATGCCTTTTGAGGCGCCTCAAAAGCCCTCTCCACTCCCACTCCCCCTCCCTTTAATGCCTTTTGAGGCGCCTCAAAAGCCCTCTCCACTCCCACTCCCCCTCCCTTTAATGCCTTTTGAGGCGCCTCAAAAGCCCTCTCCACTCCCACTCACCCTCCCTTTAATGCCTTTTGAGGCGCCTCAAAAGCCCTCTCCACTCCCACTCCCCCTCCCTTTAATGCCTTTTGAGGCGCCTCAAAAGCCCTCTCCACTCCCACTCCCCCTCCCTTTAATGCCTTTTGAGGCGCCTCAAAAGCCCTCTCCACTCCCACTCCCCCTCCCTTTAATGCCTTTTGAGGCGCCTCAAAAGCCCTCTCCACTCCCACTCCCCCTCCCTTTCATGCCTTTTGAGGCGCCTCAAAAGCCCTCTCCACTCCCACTCCCCCTCCCTTTCATGCCCTTTGAGGCGCCTCAAAAGCCCTCTCCACTCCCACTCCCCCTCCCTTTAATGCCTTTTGAGGCGCCTCAAAAGCCCTCTCCACTCCCACTCCCTCTCCCTTTCATGCCTTTTGAGGTGCCTCAAAAGCCCTCTCCACTCCCACTCCCCCTCCCTTTCATGCCTTTTGAGGCGCCTCAAAAGCCCTCTCCACTCCCACTCCCCCTCCCTTTAATGCCTTTTGAGGCGCCTCAAAAGCCCTCTCCACTCCCACTCCCCCTCCCTTTAATGCCTTTTGAGGCGCCTCAAAAGCCCTCTCCACTCCCACTCCCCCTCCCTTTAATGCCTTTTGAGGCGCCTCAAAAGCCCTCTCCACTCCCACTCCCCCTCCCTTTAATGCCTTTTGAGGCGCCTCAAAAGCCCTCTCCACTCCCACTCACCCTCCCTTTAATGCCTTTTGAGGCGCCTCAAAAGCCCTCTCCACTCCCACTCCCCCTCCCTTTAATGCCTTTTGAGGCGCCTCAAAAGCCCTCTCCACTCCCACTCCCCCTCCCTTTCATGCCTTTTGAGGCGCCTCAAAAGCCCTCTCCACTCCCACTCCCCCTCCCTTTAATGCCTTTTGAGGCGCCTCAAAAGCCCTCTCCACTCCCACTCCCCCTCCCTTTAATGCCTTTTGAGGCGCCTCAAAAGCCCTCTCCACTCCCACTCCCCCTCTCTTTAATGCCTTTTGAGGCGCCTCAAAAGCCCTCTCCACTCCCACTCCCCCTCCCTTTCATGCCTTTTGAGGCGCCTCAAAAGCCCTCTCCACTCCCACTCCCCCTCCCTTTCATGCCTTTTGAGGCGCCTCAAAAGCCCTCTCCACTCCCACTCCCCCTCCCTTTCATGCCCTTTGAGGCGCCTCAAAAGCCCTCTCCACTCCCACTCCCCCTCCCTTTAATGCCTTTTGAGGCGCCTCAAAAGCCCTCTCCACTCCCACTCCCCCTCCCTTTAATGCCTTTTGAGGCGCCTCAAAAGCCCTCTCCACTCCCACTCCCCCTCCCTTTAATGCCTTTTGAGGCGCCTCAAAAGCCCTCTCCACTCCCACTCCCCCTCCCTTTCATGCCTTTTGAGGCGCCTCAAAAGCCCTCTCCACTCCCACTCCCCCTCCCTTTAATGCCTTTTGAGGCGCCTCAAAAGCCCTCTCCACTCCCACTCCCCCTCCCTTTAATGCCTTCGCGAAATCGATCGCAGGAACACCATCGAAATCGTGTCTGGTGTTGCAAAAACCACCATCCTCGACTTCGCACCCCCACTTGCCGCAACAGCCGAACGCTACACAGTTGAACCCAAAGCCCCCCTCGCTCCCTCCCCTCCTCCCTCACCCTCCTCTCCCTCTCCCTCTCCCGGCATCACCAGCAAGCGTTCCTTCCGTATCCCCTTCACCTGCCCATCAATCCACACAGACACTAACCGGGTTGCTGCCCTCAGTGCCAACGCCATGACCATCGGCCCACCATTCACGGGCGGCGCCGGCCTCCCATTCAGGAAAAAACTCCAGAGCACTCTCCCTCATCCTGCCACGGTTCCAGTGATGCCCGGTGTTTAGCACCACCACATCTAGTTCCCTAAGAAAGTCTCTTAGGAAAGGGTCAAGCCGGTCTAAGTGCATCGCCTGGACGTGCGTCCAGCCCTCCTTATTGAGCGACTCGATTTCACATAAACACGTTGTCTAGCGGAAGATCACTGTAGCGTTGGACGCAACGAATCAGCACGCCAGCCCGGTCGGGCAGCGGGCCTCGGGCAGCTGAAAAAACCAAGTAGTTTGTGCCGACGTTTTGGGTGGGGGATGAGGGGTCGGACATGTTTTTGGGTGGGCCTTGCGGGCAGAGCAGAGAGAGCAGTAAGAGCAGAGAGAGCAGAGAGAGCAGAGAGAGCGGCGACTGGAGGTACTGCTGGCCCAGGGAGTCTCCCACAAAGGCAATGCTCTTGTTGCTCATTCTGAGAGGAGAGGAGAGGAGGGGAGGGGAAGTGGGGGGGGGGAGAGTGCGAGGGAGAGTGGGGGAAGGAAGGGGGGTAGAAGGGGAGCATGACATGCCTGCTGACATGCCTGCTGTTGGCCTAGTGAGTCTCCTACAGAGGCAAAGCCATTGTTGCGCATTCTGACAGGAAGGGAGGTGGGCAGGTAGGAGGGGGAAGAGGAAGAGCGAGTGTGTGGGGAAGAGGAAGAGCGAGTGTGTGGGGAAGAGGAAGAGCGAGTGTGTGGGGAAGAGGAAGAGGACCTGTAGATGGCCCAAGAAGTCCGCCACACGAATCACTCAGCCGCTACTCCGTTCGCCTTCCTCACACACAAATCATTCTCGATACCTACCCTCTTCGCATTCCCCTCAAACAGAGCCGCTACACATTCTAACGCACCTCGGAAGTAGGCGCCATGCGCTTGTCAAGCAGATGCTGACAATTCCGAAGCCCTACTTCACATCGTACCCTTCCTAAACCCATTCTAAACCCTCTCAACTCATGCATAACCAACACCCGCACCTCCGCCAAGAACCTCGGAGCCGCTCGTGCTTGCGCGCTTAAACACCCCTACACCTCAAGCCGCCCCGACTCTGCCCTGAGTCCTTCCCTCCTCACCTCCCACGAAACCCAGAAACCCTCACCTGCGGAAGAACCCCTCTGCATTGAACCGCTTCGCATCGCACCCACGCAACTGCCAACGCAGGCGCTCATACTCGCGCGTTCTAGACCCCTCAGTTTACCCCCCAGCTCTACCCCCACTCCCCCTCACCACCTGAAGAACCCCTCTGCGCTGAACCGCTTCGTATTGCACCCGTGCGGCTGCCAGCGTAGGCGCTCATACTCTCTCATCTCGCACGGGCGCTTGCTGCGTGCGCACGCCCCCTTGGTGAACACCCACCCGCACGTCTCCCCTGGATACAGCGAGCCTGCTGAGTCGGCTCGGCAGCCACCGCCCGTGGTACCGGTCGCACAGGGGGGATGGAGGGGTGGTTGCGGAGGGGCGCGCGGGGGCTGCAGGCGCAGGGATGCTATCAGTACGATCGCTGCCTTCAGTATTATCACCTCTTTTAACAGCCATTGCGTCACTACTATTGCTGTCACTGCCACGGGAATCCCCATCTTGGCTTCCACCAATGTTGTCGGCCCTTGGTGGGCTGGATAGTACCTGTACCGAGTCTGCTCTTAGAGAGGACTGAGCTGACTGCACCACTCCAGGCTGGCTGGTTAGATCACCTTGATCGGTATGCAGGGAGGTTCCGTGATTGTATGTGGTCGAGCTGTGTGACTATAAGAGGATGAGGAGACGGACGCGTTGTCTGGAATGGCGAATTGGCTTCTCTTCCAACCCTATATTGAGGACAGCGAGGGATGAGGGGGAGGGATGAGGGAGAGGGGTGGGGGAGAGGGGTGGGGGAGAGGGATGGGGGAGAGGGATGGGGGAGAGGGATGGAGGAGAGGGATGGGGGAGAGGGGTGAGGGTGAGGGATGGGGGAGAGGGGTGAGGGAGAGGGATGGGGGGGAGAGGGATGGGGGAGAGGTATAAGGGAGGAAGGAAAGATAAGAAGGAAGCAGAGGGATGAGAGAGAGGGATGAGAGAGAGGGAGGGATGATGCACAGGGATGAAGGAGAGGAGGAAGAAGAGGGATGGGGGAGAGGAATGGGGGAAGGATGGGGAAGAGGTAGCGGAAGGAAAGAGTGGGAGGAAGCAGCGGAATGAGGGAGAGGGAAGAAGGAGGACGGAACATTCTTAGGAGATAGAAGGCGAGCGAGCGGGATGGGAGGTAGAGGGAAGTAGAGGCGAGCGAAGGGGAGTGGGCGTGAAGGGGGGGGTATGGACGGAAAGAGATGGTGGAGGAAAGTGGTAGCTAATTGTGAAGAGGGAACCAAGTGTAGTTTAAATCTAAGCCCACTACCGTGAGCTTGCAACAAGAACATATACACATATACCCGCTGGCTCAGATACTCACACCTGCTCCCATGGCTGCCGTGAAGCGAGTCCTGCATCGCAAAGCCCACAACCATGAGAAACACCACCAGCGCCGCTGAACGGTCGCTTGCCACCGCGCTCCTATGCATTTTTCCGCGCCGCCTGCCTTTCCACCGCCACTGGTGGTCGCCAGAGCCGAGAGGAAGCGAGATCGGGATCGGTTGGAAGGGGTGCTGAGAGGTGAGGCGCTGGAAACATTCTTGCTGGCAGTGGCAGGGCGATCGCATTACACGGAGCAAGCAGGAATGGACGATAAGAATAAGAACATTTTTGAGTCGACTCGACTCAGAAAGCAGGAAAGGATTATACGGATACGGGGCTTTCCAGTTGAAAGGTTTCCACGAATGAAGGAGGGAAACAATGATCGAGCGCAGTACCGTACCTGAATCACACTGTGCGTGCGCACCTGACGGCCGATTGCAAACAACCTGAAAACAGTCGCAAGTGCGAACGCACCTGACGGCCGTCGAGTGTGCGCAACTCCCGAAGCCTCGTTGGGAGCCGGCGCTACTGACACTGATATCGCGGACGGTCGGGATCGCGCCGATGATGAGGCTGCCTCCATCTCCTCGTCTCCTGACGCGACGACAAGATGAGTCCGCTGTTGAACTGCAGTTGGCAACGTGACTACTAGGCTGCGAGCGATTATGTTTGGCGGGTGATGAGGAGTGCCGGGTAACGATGCGCTTGATGCCAAAGTTGCTGATTTAACCGAAACCACCTATGCACTAATATTTCTGATCATAAGAGTCTTTTCTTTTATCCTAAAGCTGACGCCACGCTGGAGGCGTCTACGCAAAAAGCCGCCGAAGGCGAGTCGCTTGAGAGCGTCACGACAATCGCGCAAACGTCATATATTACACCACATTGGCAGTACGACCGGCTGGCTGTTCGAGGGGAGATGGGGAGGTGGGAAAGGGAGATGAGGAGGTGGGAATGGCGCAGTCGCGCGTGGCGCGGCGAGCGTGTTCACGGAGGCGTGAGGAGGCAGTGCGGGGCGGCGAGGCTGCGAGCAGGGGCATGGGGGGATGCGACGAGGCCGCTATGGAAAGTGCGGCGCGGCGGCAAGGGGAGGCGAGGTGAGGCAGTGATGGGCGCGTGACCGCGGTTGAAAGCGCGATCGCAACCCTAGGCGATGGCGGACCAAATTCCACACTCAACCTACGATTGGCGCTACGATGGGGAGCGAATTTGCGTCTTTCTCGGTAGTAATCTGTGGTACATGCGGACTGGGCTAAGAGGCAGAGGGTAGGAAATGGAGAGAATACTTCTGGGCATTGAAGCTTTGACCGTCAAGTGGGAGGCACTGGCGAGGGGGGTTAGCGAATATCGGGTTCGGTCTGTAACCGGATAACCTTTCTGGCAACATAACATCTGGCGAACCCACTGTGCACTCTCTCCTTGCGTACGCGATGCAATACATCCAGGAACCTATGCATCTGAGAGAATTACTGTAGAACCATGTTCGGTGATTCCTTCTTACTCGCGTGGCCTCGAATTACTCGAGTGGCCACCAAAATTGGTCATAATTACTCGAGTGGCCACGCCAGGGGATTCCCGCACGCTTTTTATTTCCCGGCGCATTACCCTACGGGGGTTTGCAGCCCCGAAAGTTTTGCAATGATTATTGCGCGATTTTCATTATCCGAAATTTATGTTCGGGACATTATATGACCGCGCCTGATTGGACGCGCATTGCCAAAAAAGGCATCACGCATATAATTGACCAATCATGCGCGGTCATTAATCCCGCGCATTGACGCCCGGGCATTGCAGTTTATGATCGAGGAAATATATGATCGGGCATTAATGTATGATGCTCGCGACCATTAATGGCCGCTCATGATTGGTCGATTATATGCGCGTCCAGTCAGGCGCGGTCATATAGGGTCACGTACATAAAATTCGGATATAAATGATCGCGCAATAACCAAGACAAACATTCGGGGCTACAAACCCCCGTAGGGTAATGCGCCGGGAAACAAAAGCGTGCGGGAATCCCCTGGCGTGGTCACTCGAGTAATTATCACCAATTTTGGTGGCCACTCGAGTAATTCGAGGACACGCGAGTAAGAAGGAATCACCAAACATGGTTCTACAGTAATTCTCTCTATGCATCTTCAGAAAACAATTCCCGTGGATCAATCGGAGCCCAGCAACGTGGGATTGGGGAAGGTAGGCGCTGACGTGAACGGTTAGGCAATCCTAGCCACACGTTTATGCCCAAGGGAGTGCCGGAATGCCAAGTCAACCTCGAGGAGAACGAATGAGTACGGCGGTAGCCCATGTCAGCACAGGGATTGGTGCCTTATTCTCGCGGATAAAGCGGTGAGTCGCGGTTCAAAGCGATGAAGCCAGAATAGCTTCTCTCAAATGCACACCACCGTACTAAACCGCAACAGCCGAACAGAACTCTGACCCGCCCTCAGGGCGGGATCAGCACCAGGCCTGTCGATTGACGGGCATATGCCCTTAATGCCCTGAAATTCCGGGCTGCTTTTGCTCCAGCTCGACTGCATAAAGTGTTAGGATCGCCCTGCACCCGTGCCACTAAGTGCCTCGTTCGACCCTTCCCCGGATGCGTTAAGTGCCCAAACCAGGCCTTCCCCTGTCTCAAAGTTTTGGTTTCCGATTGTAGGACTTCCCCCCCCAAATTATGCCTGACCCCCCCCCCCCACTCTTTCTCAGGTTGCACGAGAGGAGTGGATTTTGACCTTAGCGTTTTCTAGCCAATCCTGTGTTTATAAAGTGTCTAAGTCAGCTTGGAGCACCCGAATTTTCCCTTAGCGTCTAAGTGCCCGCCCCCTCTTTCTCCTTTGGTTGCACGAGAGGAGTGGATTTTTCCCTTTCCTTCAATCCTGTGTTTATAAAGTGTCTAAGTCAGCTTGGAGCACCCGAATTTTCCCTTAGCGTCTAAGTGCAAACTCTTCACAAGCCCGGATTTTAAGTTTTCACTTTGGGGGGCGCCCAAACGCTCAGCTACACCCAAAACAGGGCCAGATGGGGAGGAGCTGGGGAGCGCAAGTATGGGCCCCAGGAACTTCGACAGGCCTGATCAGCACGTCCCTCGTTCGTTCTGTGCAGTTGCTTGTGCTGCGTCACGGTGGGAAACGGTTGACCTTGATAACCGCTGTGCACCGTCTGGAATCGCCTTGCGCCACGACGGATGAACTGAAAACGAGCACGCTGGACCCGCCCTCAGTGTTGCTCGTCTCACCTCGTCTTCTATCACGATTCCCTCCCGACATGCTTTTCGCAATTTAGGAGTGACCCGATGCTTGTGTGAGGTAATGGAGAGAGCAGGGTGCGCACACGATTGAATGGCCCATTATCATGCATCTAGTATCGAGCACCCGCACTAGACGTGCACATTGCGTTGTGGCAAGGAAGCAAAGTGATATAGATTGTTTCGGGCGCGGGCAGAGGATCGTATGGAAAGCGCTGGCAGCACCATACTCCCCCGCTTCGTCTCCGCGAGCCTTCCGCGGAACTGCAGCTGCGCCAGCGAGCGCTGCGACTCGCGACGAATACTTGAGCAGGCGCGTTGACCCTTGCGTGACCCTCGCGTTGACTCACGCGTTGACCCATGGCTACCGTCTGCCACCTTGAAGCGATGAGCACTCAATTGCCCTGAGGAATAGTTAAGCGCTTATTTGTATGCAATGCGATGGCTTTAGTTATTTAGATGGCGTTAATTATGGGGTCCAATCGAGTAGTAGCAGCACAGCTGTTATCGAAGAAACCCAGCTTATCGCACCCAACCCGTCCGTGCTCGCGCGCAGCCGCCGCGACGCCTCCCCTCATCCGCGAGTAACCAGTAGTCGACGCGCGTCAAATACCGTCAAGTAACCCGTAGACGGCAGGGCACTAACCTGTAGCCGGCAACCAGAGCCATGGTTCCGCTGCTCATCTGCCTGCTGTGCCTCATGGGCGGGTGCATGTGGTGGCTCTTCCGCCGCTGCCTGCACTCCGGCTCCACTGCCAGCAAGGACTGGCCGCCCGCCACCTACGACGAGTTTAAAGACGTCCCTAGAATCTGCCGCATCCTGCTGTCCGTCTACGAGGAGGACATCAACAACCCCGTGTATAATGACCGCCTGGAGATTAAAGACGTCGTGCGGCTCGCGGGGTACAAGGACACGCAGGGCCGGTGCCCGCCGTACGTGATCTACGTGGACCACGCGGCGCGCGACATCTGTCTCGCGGTGCGCGGGCTGAACATGGCGAACTTCGCCGACTACCGCGTGCTCATGGACAACCGCATGGGCAAGCAGCGCTTCGACGGCGGCTACGTGCACCACGGGCTGCTCAAGTCCGCCGCGTGGCTGCTCGACCACGAGATGGAGACGCTCAACGCGCTCGCCGCGGAAAACCCGGAGTATACTGTCACGCTGGCGGGGCATTCGCTGGGGAGCGGGATTGTGGCGATGATGACGGTGATTCTGCATAAGAACCCCGGCGAGGTGGGGTTTGATGATGCGCGCCTGCGGTGTTTCTGCATCGCGCCCGCGCGGTCCACGTCGCTCAACCTCGCGATTAAGTACGCTGACATCATCAACTCCGTCGTCTTGCAGGTGAGCTGACGTCGGCAGTTTGAGAACCCTGCGCACCGTAACAGTTCGCCTGGCCTCTCGTCGTTGTCCCTCACCTCTCTCCGCCCGTCGCGCCCCTCCTCCCTCCTCTCCTCTCTCCCCTCTTCTCTTTCCTCCCTTCCGTCTCCTCTTCTCTCGTCCCTCCAATTTTCCCTCTCACTGCGTTCCCACTGGCCGCCCCCTCCAGGACGATTTCCTTCCGCGCACGTCAGCGCCCATCGATAACATCCTCGCGTTCTCCTTCTGGTGCGCCCCCTACATCCCTCGGGTGCAACCCCCTCCTTCCCTCACGCTCCTTCCTTCCCCTTCCTTCCCTCACGCTCCTTCCTTCCCCCTCCTTCCCTCACGCTCCTTCCTTCCCCTTCCTTCCCTCACGCTTCTTCCTTCCCCCTCCTTCCCTCACGCTCCCTCCTTCCCCCTCCTTCCCTCACGCTCCTTCCTTCCCCCTCCTTCCCTCACGCTCCTTCCTTCCCCCTCCTTCCCTCACGCTCCTTCCTTCCCCCTCCTTCCCTCGCGCTCCTTCCTTCCCCCTCCTTCCCTCACGCTCCTTCCTTCCCCCTCCTTCCCTCACGCTCCTTCCTTCCCCCTCCTTCCCTCACGCTCCTTCCTTCCCCCTCCTTCCCTCACGCTCCTTCCTTCCCCCTCCTTCCCTCACGCTCCTTCCTTCCCCCTCCTTCCCTCGCGCTCCTTCCTTCCCCCTCCTTCCCTCACGCTCCTTCCTTCCCCCTCCTTCCCTCACGCTCCTTCCTTCCCCCTCCTTCCCTCACGCTCCTTCCTTCCCCCTCCTTCCCTCACGCTCCTTCCTTCCCTCTCCTTCCCTCACGCTTCGTCCCTCCCTCTCCTCCCCTCGCTCGCCTTCCCTCAATCTACATCCCTTGTCTCCTCCCCTCCTTCCCTTGTCTCCTCCCCTCACTCTCCTTCCATCCCTCTGCTATCATCCCTCTCCTCCCCCTCTCTCCTTCCCTCACTCTCCTTCCCTCAACGTCCTTTCTCACTCTCCGTCCGACCCGTCTTCCTCTCCCCCCCTCAGCTGCCGTGCATGCTGTGCGTCAAGTGCTGCCGTGCATGCTGTGCGTCAAGTGCTGCTTGTGAGTCTTCAGAGCTTCCCACCCTTGCCATACCCACCCCCGCCCCCCCTCTTCCCTCATCCTCCCCCCATTTCCCGTCTTCCCACCCCCCTTCAGCCTGCCCTGCATGCTGTGTCTCAAGTGCTGCTGGGACACATGCGGCCTATACAAGCGGCGTGTGAAGGACCCTCGCCGCCTCTACGCGCCTGGCCGCCTCTTCCACATCCTCTACACCTCCGACTTCAGGTAACCTGCCTGCTTGTGGGGGCGGCTTCAGGTGGGGAGCGCCAGTGGCGCGCTGGTGGTGCGGGGGGCTAGGTGCAGTGAGGAGGGGGAGGGGGGTAGGTGCAGTGAGAGGGGAGGGGGGGGGGTAGGTGCAGTGAGGGGGGAGAGGGGGCGGGTAGGTGCAGTGATGTCGGGGGTGGGGGCCTAGGTGCAGTGGTGGGGCCAGCACTGCCGCTACAGGGCACGCACTGCTGCTACAGGGCATGCACTGCTGCTACAGGGCACGCACTGCTGCTACAGGGCACGCACTGCTGCTACAGGGCACGCACTGCTGCTACAGGGCACGCACTGCTGCTACAGGGCACGCACTGCTGCTACAGGGCACGCACTGCTGCTACAGGGCACGCACTGCTGCTACAGGGCACGCACTGCTGCTACAGGGCACGCACTGCTGCTACAGGGCACGCACTGCTGCTACAGGGCACGCACTGCTGCTACAGGGCACGCACTGCTGCTACAGGGCACGCACTGCTGCTACAGGGCACGCACTGCTGCTACAGGGCACGCACTGCTGCTACAGGGCACGCACTGCTGCTACAGGGCATGCACTGCTGCTACAGGGCATGGACTTCTCCCTGTCAGATCAGGAGGCTGCACTCGTCCCTGCTCCCCTCGCCTTTCTCCCCCATTCTCCTCCCACTGCCCCCCTCCCTCCCCCCTGCAGCATGCCAGACACCTACAACGCCGTCCACCCACATGCACGCCCCTACATCCACCCCCCTCCCCCACCTCCTCCCCCTTCCCCCCTTTCCCCCCCTTCTCGCACTCCCCCCCTTCTCGCACTTCCCCCCACCCCCAGCTGCCAGGAGGAGGAGCTGCAGGTGAAGACCGCCGTACCCGTGGAGGACCGCTTCGAGAAGGTGGTGCTGTCGCGCACGGCCATCGACGACCATTCGATCGTCATCATCGAGCGCCGATCAACGGTGGCGGTGGAATCTCTAGAGCTGCGGGAGCAGGCAGAGGAGGAGAAGGAGACAAATCCCCCCTCACAGCAGCGCATGCAGCGGTCCATGCAGCGATCGATGACTTCCAAGGAGCGCCAGCAGCAGTACGCACAGGCGCTTGAACGCGCCCTCACGCTGCACGTGCCTGATGCTGCCTCGCATGAGGAGATCCGACGGCTGGTGGCTGCTGCTGAGGCGCGGGAGGAAGGGGTGGAAGAGAGGGCGGTGCATGGGCGCAGGGTGGATGGGATGGGCGAGAAGGGAGAGAAAGGGGAGAGGGGAGAAAAGGGAGAGGGGAAGGAGAAATCAGAAACGATGGCACCTACGCCAGCAGCAGCAGGGGCAGTGGCAGCAGCAGGGGCAGGGGCAGTGGCAGTTGTTGCTGCTGTGGGGATGGAAGGTGGCAAGGAGGCAGAGAAGACGAAGGACGAGGACGAGACAAGTGAGAGGAGCGGGAAGAGCGGGAAGAGCGAGACGCTGTCAGAGTTGTGGCAGAAGGAGGTGGAGGAGTTCCGGGAGAAGGAGAGGCAGGCACTGCTGGAGGAGGAGAGGAAAGCCGAGGAGCGCGTGAGGCAGTTTGAGGAGCACAGCCGGGCGGATAAGGCAGAGAAGGCGGAGCAGCGCCGAGCGGAGCAGGCGGGAGGGGATGAGGAGGAGGAGAGGGGCGAGGAGGTGGAGAGGGGCGAGGAGGCGGAGAGGGGCGAGGAGGAGGAGAGGCTATCGGACTACTGGAGCAAGGAGCTGGCGGCGCTGCGGCGGCGGGAGGAGCTGGCGATGGTGGAGAGGGAGGAGCGGCAGAGGGCGGAGCGGGCGAGGCGGGCCGAGGAGGAGGAGGCTGCTGAGCGGCTTTCGGAGTTTTGGGGAAGGGAGATGGATGGGGAGAAGGGGGAGGGGGAGTGGGCGGAGAGGGAGGTGGAGGGGGAGGGGGGGGACGGAGGTGTGGGTGGGAAAGAAGGTGGTGATGGTGCCGCCCCTGTCACAGCGCCTGCTGCTGCCGCTGCTGCCGCTGCTTTTGCCGCTGCTGGTGCTCGTGCTCGTTCTCCTGCTGCTGCCGCTGCTGCTGCTCCTGCTGCTGGTGCTCCCACAGCAGGGGGAGGAGGGGATGTGGTGGTGGAGGTGGGCGATGGGGTGGGGGGAGGCCCAGCAGATGTGGCCATCCATGTGGATGAAGGCACGGCAATGCTACCCAAGGCGCCACCACCTGCCTTTGCCACCACTGCTCCTGCCACTGCAGCACCTGCAGCCGGGGCTGGGGCCAAGGGCGAGAAGAGCGAGGCAGAGCGTGAGGGGCAGCAGCAGAGGCATGCACAGCTGTGGCGGGCTTTAACTACCGCACCGCAGCAGCAGCAGCAGCAGCAGCAGGTGGAGGCTGCAGCAGCAAGGCAGCAGATGGGGCGCGCGATCACTGTAGGGTCAGGGCGAGAGGAGGCAGCAGCAGCGAGGCTGTCTGCAGGAGGGGCAGCGGCAAAGGGGGGGCTGTCTGCAGGGGAAGTGGGGGGGACGGGGGGGACGGGGGGGACCCTGTCAGTGAGGCAGAAGTGGGCGCGCATAGTGGATGAGTTGATAGACGAGGGGGAGGGGGAAGTGCAGGGGGGCACACGAGACGCCGCCGAGGCTCAGCTTCGGGAGGCGCAGAGGATTGGCAAGGAGCAGTGGCACAAGGCTCGGGCGGCGTTCCTTTCTGGGGTGGGTGGCCTGTCGAAGAAGGCCGGGATGAACATTGAGATCTGACCTGGCACGGTGACGTGGTGCTTGGTGCTGATGTGGCGTTTGGTATGGATGTGGCGCTCGGTGCTGATGTGGCACTTGGTGCTGATGTGGCGCTTGGTGCTGATGTGGCGCTTGGTGCTGCCCGGTGGATGGGTGCTGCCCCGATGGTGAATGTCCTGCTGGTAGCAGCATCATCCCACGCTCACTCTGCTGGCCAGGGCAGCATTACTGATTGTTCCCCAATTACCTTGCCTCAGTGCACGTAGGTGGCACCTGGGACTCCGTCCGCTGCTTCACCGCTGCAAGTGCCTGTCTCGGCATGCCTTACCTGCGTGTATCAGTGGTACTCCTAAGAGTGAGCCACTGGTGGTTGACTGGATGAAAGGCGAGTTAACGGCATTTCAGGCTGTCGTCGCTGTCAGGCCGGGCTGTCATAGGGCAATCGGTGGACTAACCAGCAGTCAGGTTCTTAGAAGGGTGTTGTGTATTCTTCCCATGGCAGGAGCATCACATCTGTTGTCTTGCGCAGCAGCAGAGCAGACCAGCATGGGTTACATACAGGTAGCATTTCATGGTTGCACTGTAGTTTTGTTCCTGTATCATGCCACTGTGTACATGCAATGATGTAGATGTGTGTGGTGTGGTGTGGTGTGACAGCATGGTGACAGCATGTCATACTGGACAACGGCAAATTGGGTCGATTACAAAACTCGGTGCAGTTGTGTAGCCCGAAGCTTCAAATAAGAATGCAGTAATGACAGAAACGTGTCATTGAGCAACAAGAGCAGCTGCGATGGCTATTGTATGCAAACAGACGTTGCAGCGCCGACCAAGATCTTCAAGGTCATGCAACCAGGGTGGCAGATCTGCAAGCCTGGTGGCAGATCTGCACGCCGGGCGGTAGATCTTGGAACCGGGGGGCAGAGCAACACACTGGGTGGTCAAACTTTGAACTGGGCAGTGGCAGAGGTTCAGGCGGGGTGGCAGCGGTTCAGGCGGGGCGGTAGAGCTTGCGGTTGCGGAGGCCATTCCAGAACTGCTTGGCTGTCATGGGTCGCTTGCTCTCTGGCTGTACCTCCCACACCTGCCCACACACATGCCGGCATGATGAGACGGGCGGGGAGATGCAGGGTGGGGAGATGCAGGGTGGGGGAGTGTAATGGAGGGAGATGTGAAAGGGGACAGGCAGCGGCAGGGAGATCCATACAAGACTGAATGGACTGCTGCAGAAGTATGGGGCACTTGCCCTCTGGATGGCGTGCGGGCGAGCATGGCGTGCGGGTGTGGAGGGACGGTCACCTTGACCACTCACCTCGAGAACAGAACCATCGTCGCATGGAACGAGCATGGCCTGCCCCTCCAGCCGCACCTCCTCCACCTCCTCCGGTGCCACCGCGGGGGCCGGCGGGGAGGAGGCGGGGGCAGCGGGGCGGGGTCTGGTGCGCAGCAGCTTGAGGGAAACGTTGTCCACATCGCCCGTCACTGGGTCCTTGGTTAGGAAGGAGGCTCGGGTGCCGGGCCAAGGCGCGAAGGCCCGAACCTGGACGTGTGGTTCAATTCGGATCAGAGGGAGGGGTGGGGGAGTGAGCGCAGATGGAGAAATGACGAGTGATGGGAGGGGAGAGAATGGGTGAGAGGGCAAGCGGCTGACCAGGCAGGTGATGCAGAGAGGGTAGCGGATGGGGAGAGATGGAAGCGGGTGGGACAATTTCATGACATAGAAATGCGGGCGGGCACGAAATGTGGAATGCCGTGTTGAGAGGAATGCCATGACCAGTGGAATGCCCTTGTTGTGCGGTGTCAGGGCGGGCATGTGGTGCTGTCAGGGCGGGCATGTGGTGCTGTGATGGCATGTGGTGCTGTGATGGCATGTGGTGCTGTGAGGGCATGTGGTGCTGTGATGGCATGTGGTGCTGTGAAGGCATGTGGTGCTGTGATGGCATGTGGTGCTGTGAAGGCATGTGGTGCTGTGAAGGCATGTGGTGCTGTGATGGCATGTGGTGCTGTGATGGCATGTGGTGCTGTGATGGCATGTGGTGCTGTGATGGCGGCACCTTGTTGTGCAGAGTGAGGGCGGGCAGAGAGAAGTCGAGGACGCCCTCCTCTGCTGCCACCTGCCACGAGAGGATGAGGGGAAGAAGGGAGTCGTGTGAGGGGATTAGTAAGGTGCAGGGTGCAGCGAGGTGCAGCGACGCGGGGAACACACGCATGCCCTCCACTGCTGACACCTGTGATGCGGGAACATGGTGAGGGGATGAGGGCACGGCGTACTGATGAGGGGATTAGTGCAAGGTGCAAGGGCAGTCAGATGGTGCAAGGGCAGTCAGATGGTGCAAGGGCAGTCAGATGGTGCAAGGGCAGTCAGATGGTGCAAGGGCAGTCAGATGGTGCAAGGTCAGTCAGATGGTGCAAGGTCAGTCAGCTGGTATTGCATCCACAAGCAAGCTACAGTTGAATACTGCAATGTAATGAGTCAAGTCAAACATGAGCCCATGCCTCGTGTCAAACACAAGCCCATGCCTCGTGTCAAACACAAGCCCATGCCTCGTGTCAAACACAAGCCCATGCCGCGAACGAGGCCGAATGCAAGCCCATGCACTGTGGTGTTCCGCTAGCCGCACCTTAGCAGCGTAGGTGGCTTGGGAGTCGTCTTGCGGCGTGGCAGTGGCAGCAGCAGAGCCATCCAGCACGGCGGGCAGATGCTGCAGTAGCAGGTGCGTGCCTGGCGTGGGAGGGACAGGGGAATGCGGCGGGAGGGGGATGGATCTTCTGAGGTGCCTCTCGAATGATGGCAGATGCTGCAGTAGGAGGTGCGTGCCTGGTAGCAGGTGCGTGCCTGGTAGCAGGTGCGTGCCTGGTAGGAGGGGAGACGAGAGAGAGGAGGGCTGCGAGGGGGAGTGGGGAGAGAGAAAGAGGGGAGAGGACGAAAGAGGCGAGAGAAGGACGGCGGTGGAAAGGGACGATAGCATGGACGGTGCGGGTGATGCAGTGACGAGGTGAAAAAAAGCAGCATGGTGGGAAGGGATGCATGGGAGTGGATGCAGCACGGTGGGAAGGGATGCATGGGAGTGGATGCAGCACGGTGGGAAGGGATGCATGGGAGTGGATGCAGCACGGTGGGAAGGGATGCATGGGAGTGGATGCAGCACGGTGGGAAGGGATGCATGGGAGTGGATGCAGCACGGTGGGAAGGGATGCATGGGAGTGGATGCAGCACGGTGGGAAGGGATGCATGGGAGTGGATGCAGCACGGTGGGAAGGGATGCATGGGAGTGGATGCAGCACGGTGGGAAGGGATGCATGGGAGTGGATGCAGCACGGTGGGAAGGGATGCATGGGAGTGGATGCAGCACGGTGGGAAGGGATGCATGGGAGTGGATGCAGCACGGTGGGAAGGGATGCATGGGAGTGGATGCAGCACGGTGGGAAGGGATGCATGGGAGTGGATGCAGCACGGTGGGAAGGGATGCATGGGAGTGGATGCAGCACGGTGGGAAGGGATGCATGGGAGTGGATGCAGCACGGTGGGAAGGGATGCATGGGAGTGGATGCAGCACGGTGGGAAGGGATGCATGGGAGTGGATGCAGCACGGTGGGAAGGGATGCATGGGAGTGGATGCAGCACGGTGGGAAGGGATGCATGGGAGTGGATGCAGCACGGTGGGAAGGGATGCATGGGAGTGGATGCAGCACGGTGGGAAGGGATGCATGGGAGTGGATGCAGCACGGTGGGAAGGGATGCATGGGAGTGGATGCAGCACGGTGGGAAGGGATGCATGGGAGTGGATGCAGCACGGTGGGGTGGGGCCTGTGGGATGGGCAGTCCAGTAAAAGGCGGCTTTTGGAGCATGCAGGCAGTGCGCGTGCAGGCAGCGTGCAGAGGTGGAGTGAGAGGCACCTCGATGAAAGAGATCGTTCAAGAGTTGGGGCGCTTGAATGTCATCCGCCACCACCACCCGCTCCTGTGCGATGATGGGACCCGCATCCATCTGCAGCACCGTGTACGCCACTGTTACTCCCGTCTCCCTCTCCCCTTGCTGGCCGGCGGAGAGGAAGAGGGAACATATGGAGTGAACACAACACATGGCGGGGTGCACGGCGGTGTGATGGTGGAAAGGGCTAACAATTTGCGATGAATGGACTGCTGGGGCAAGGATGACAAGGAGATGGAAACAGCAAGGATGCACTGAACTGTGTTCCGAGGCACCGTACAGGTTCTTGTGCTCAGAACAGCACCAGGAAAGACTGAGATACCTGCCATGAGGGAGGGAGGGAGGGAGGTGTATCTGAAGAGAGAGGGGAGAACGACCTCCCAGTGCCTCCTGATACCTTCATCATCCCTTCCTGCCTCCACTGTCCCTCACCACTCCTCCCCCTCTCTTCCCTCCAACTGCCCCCTACCCACCTCCAGTGCTCGCTGCTCACCTCCAGTGCTCGCTGCTCACCTCCAGGGCTCGCTGCACGGGCGATGCTCCTCTGAACTTGGGGAGCAGGCTGGGGTGAATGTTCACAGTGCCTGCTCATGAATGCGGGTGAATGTTCACAGTGCCTGCTCATGAATGCGGGTGAATGTTCACAGTGCCTGCTCATGAATGCGGGTGAATGTTCACAGTGCCTGCTCATGAATGCGGGTGAATGTTCACAGTGCCTGCTCATGAATGCAGGTGAATGTTCACAGTGCCTGCTCATGAATGCGGGTGAATGTTCACAGTGCCTGCTCATGAATGCAGGTGAATGTTCACAGTGCCGGCTCTATCGTGGGCAGCACATGAAACCTTTCATTTGACAAATGGGATTTGTGTGATCCCACCCACCCCCCCTGTCCTCGTGCTTGCATTCACCCTTATGATTTTCCACATGGTTTGCAACCCTCACATCTCAAGGTTTCAACTAGTGACACCAGCTACACATCTCACAGCCTCGATTATCACGTGGGCGTCACAAGAGCTCGCATGTGAGAATATTATGGAAGAGCGGCCCAGGGATTGCAAGAGAGCGGCCCAGGGATTGCAAGAGAGCGGCCCAGGGATTGCAAGAGAGCGGCCCAGGGATTGCAAGAGAGCGGCCCAGGGATTGCAAGAGAGCGGCCCAGGGATTGCAAGAGAGCGCAACTGACGGCAAGTTGGTGCAGAGAGCTAAAGGGTTTAGAGTGCATGAGAGTGCAAGAGATGGCAAGGGTTTAGCTGGCCAAGGGAATGCAATAGAGTGCATGAGAGTGCAAGAGAGCTTAAGGGAAAGGGACTGCTGGAATGACAGATGGGTGGATGCATGTGCTTACCTTGGAGCGGGATGGAGAGGAAGGAAGACGGTAGGAAGTTTCCGTATGCTGCAGTGACGCACACGTCCGGCTGCAGGTGCTTCAGCGCCTCTAGAAAGGCGGGCTGGCAGCACGTGGGGGCCGTGGGGTTGGGGCGAGGGGGGAGGAAGTTTGGCGGAAGGGTCATTTGAGTCGACTCAAAGGTCACCTCGTCCGGCTGCAGGTGCTTCAGCGCCTCTAGGAAGGCGGGCTGGCAGTGCATGAGTCATGGGGGTGGGCGAGGGGGGAGATGCGCGGAAGGGGGACAATGCCGATTGGCAAGGAGGGCAGGCAGGAGGTTTACGAGGAGAAAACGAGTGTGGGCGACGCAGGCAGTGGAGGAGGAGAGGAAGTGGAAGAGAGCCGCGGAAAAAGGGGTGAGATTTGCAGTAAAGTGCAATTATGGCAGGGAGATCTGTGACAGGTGCCATTATGGCAGGGAGATCTGTGAAAGGTGCCAACACAACGGCAGGAGCAGCAGGGCAGCGGATGAGAGTAACAGATGAGAGGAGCGGATGGGAGCAGTGGAAGAGAGAGGCGGATGAGTAGCAAGCGCACACATCGCGAGCCGAGGCAGGCGAGAGGATACGATCGGGCGGCAGGCCGCGATCTGCTGCCAGCTGTCCCACGGCGGTCGGCTTCAGCTGTCCTTTACTGCGCCCCCTGCCCCGGCTGGACGGTGGCTGCGTGACCACCGCCGCCACCTGGTGGGAGGGATGAGCGCGCATGGAGGGTAGGGGAGGGGGAGGGAGGGACGGGGGGTGATGGAGAAATTGGGTAGGTGGGTGGGGGGAAGGGAGGAGAAGGAGTTGCGAATAGCGTGGGAAGCAGAGGAAGTGGGGGATGGGCATAGGCAAGTGGTGTGGAGGGAGCAGGGGTGGGGGGGGAGGCAGTGAGGCGAGGCGGTGCGATGAGTGAGGCGCGGACGGACCTCAAAGAGCGCGTGCGGCTGCTGAGCCGCGTGCAGCAGCCGGTCCAACACCCCCGCTGCCACCTGCACGAGGCCACGGGGAGGACGGAGATGCAGGGAGGTTGGGCGGAGGAGACACGGGGAGGGGAGGGTGAGGGGGACAGAAGAGGAAGGGATGGGGAGGGGAGCAGTCGGTCCAACACCCCCGCTGCCACCTGTGCGGGAAGGAGGGCACGGGAGGAGGAGGGCACGGGAGGAGGAGGGCACGGGAGGAGGAGGGCACGGGAGGAGGAGGGCACGGGAGGAGGAGGGCACGGGAGGAGGAGGGCACGGGAGGAGGAGGGCACGGGAGGAGGAGGGCACGGGAGGAGGAGGGCACGGGAGGAGGAGGGCACGGGAGGAGGAGGGCACGGGAGCCGGGGAGGAGGGGATGAGGAGAGGAGGAGAGGAGGGGAGGCAGAGAGGAGGAGAGGACGGGAGGAGGGAGGAGGGGAGGGCAGGAGGGCAGGAGGGGAGGAGGGGAGGAGGGGAGGAGAGCGCACGGGAGTAGAACGAAGTGGGGCGCACGAAGACAATGGGGGGCAGCGAGCGTGGAGGGAGAAATGGTGGGTGCGAACAGGCGCGTGGTGGGATGGCGCGGAAGAGGGGAGGCGAGGAGAGGAAGGGAGGGGAAGGTTCACAGCAACGAAGTGAGCAGCAACGCAGTGAGCAGCAACGCAGTGAGCAGCAACGCAGTGAGCAGCAACGCAGTGAGCAGCAACGCAGTGAGCAGCAACGCAGTGAGCAGCAACGCAGTGAGCAGCAACGCAGTGAGCAGCAACGCGGTGAGCAGCAACGCAGTGAGAAGCAACGCAGTGAGCAGCAACGCAGTGAGAAGCAACGCAGTGAGCAGCAACGCAGTGAGCAGCAACGCAGTGAGCAGCAACGCAGTGAGCAGCAACGCAGTGAGCAGCAACGCAGTGAGCAGCAACGCAGTGAGCAGCAACGCAGTGAGCAGCAACGCAGTGAGCAGCAACGCAGTGAGCAGCAACGCAGTGAGCAGCAACGCAGTGAGCAGCAACGCAGTGAGCAGCAACGCAGTGAGCATCAACGCAGGGAGCAGCAACGCAGCGAGCAGCAACGCAGCGAGCAGCAACGCAGCGAGCAGCAACGCAGCGAGCAGCAACGCAGCGAGCAGCAACGCAGCGAGCAGCAACGCAGTGAGCAGCAACGCAGTGAGCAGCAACGCAGTGAGCAGAAACGCAGTGAGCAGCAACGCAGTGAGCAGCAACGCAGTGAGCAGCAACGCAGTGAGCAGCAACGCCGTGAGCAGCAACGCGGTGAGCAGCAACGCGGTGAGCAGCAACGCAGTGAGAAGCAACGCAGTGAGCAGCAACGCAGTGAGCAGCAACGCAGTGAGCAGCAACGCAGTGAGCAGCAACGCAGTGAGCAGCAACGCAGTGAGCAGCAACGCAGTGAGCAGCAACGCAGTGAGCAGCAACGCAGTGAGCAGCAACGCGGTGAGCAGCAACGCAGTGAGAAGCAACGCAGTGAGCAGCAACGCAGTGAGAAGCAACGCAGTGAGCAGCAACGCAGTGAGCAGCAACGCAGTGAGCAGCAACGCAGTGAGCAGCAACGCAGTGAGCAGCAACGCAGTGAGCAGCAACGCAGTGAGCAGCAACGCAGTGAGCAGCAACGCAGTGAGCAGCAACGCAGTGAGCAGCAACGCAGTGAGCAGCAACGCAGTGAGCAGCAACGCAGTGAGCAGCAACGCAGTGAGCAGCAACGCGGTGAGCAGCAACGCAGTGAGAAGCAACGCAGTGAGCAGCAACGCAGTGAGAAGCAACGCAGTGAGCAGCAACGCAGTGAGCAGCAACGCAGTGAGCAGCAACGCAGTGAGCAGCAACGCAGTGAGCAGCAACGCAGTGAGCAGAAACGCAGTGAGCAGCAACGCAGTGAGCAGCAACGCAGTGAGCATCAACGCAGGGAGCAGCAACGCAGCGAGCAGCAACGCAGTGAGCATCAACGCAGGGAGCAGCAACGCAGCGAGCAGCAACGCAGCGAGCAGCAACGCAGCGAGCAGCAACGCAGTGAGCAGCAACGCAGTGAGCAGCAACGCAGTGAGCAGCAACGCAGTGAGCAGAAACGCAGTGAGCAGCAACGCAGTGAGCAGCAACGCAGTGAGCAGCAACGCAGTGAGCAGCAACGCCGTGAGCAGCAACGCGGTGAGCAGCAACGCGGTGAGCAGCAACGCAGTGAGAAGCAACGCAGTGAGCAGCAACGCAGTGAGCAGCAACGCAGTGAGCAGCAATGCAGTGAGCAGCAACGCAGTGAGCAGCAACGCAGTGAGCAGCAACGCAGTGAGCAGCAACGCAGTGAGCAGCAACGCAGTGAGCAGCCGCGTAGTGAGGAGGGCCGCCGCACGCTCGTTGCCGCCCAGCACTCGCTGTTTCGGTTCTACCTCGCCCGGCGAGTCCCACCCACCTCAGGCGACCCGAGAAATACAAGCTGCTTCTTGTCCCCGCTAGAGGAACCTTCGCTTTGCGCGTTACAGGAAATGTATCGACGGTTGCGGCCAGCCGGCACTAGAAGAAGCTTGACGGAGTGCGCGAGAGGGCGATGCAGCAGCCATCTGAAGCTGTTGGGTGAAAGCGTCATCGGCTGCATCGGAGAATCTAGGCAGAAAATCTGTACGTGACTAAGCAATTTAGTGGATGCCAGGGCGATTGCTAAGTATGGAAATACCAGGTTTCGGGGTGGAACCTCATTGGACCTTCGCCTGTGGTTGAGCGAAGTGTTGCGACTCAGATGTTCATTTCGTGAGAATATTGTGTTTTGTGCGATGGCGAAGTGGTGTGCAGAGTGGAAAGGCGATGAAAAAATAACGGCTGTAGTGAACTGTTACGAGTGCAACGGGAGGTAGAGAGGATTGCACTAAAGTGTCAAAGGCATGAGCGAATACGTAAGGAATTCGGAGAACAACTCCGGAGAATACGTAAGTAATAGGATACACTATACATGTACAACTCCGGTTTTCGGAGAACAGGCTCGGTCCGATGACCTCACCCTCTGAACCACAACCGCGTCGCCTTCGCGTTTCCCAACCCCGAACCTGCACCCAACCATCTCGCGACTCCGCGACTTCGGCCTAGCTAGCATCGTTATATTAGTGCTATGCCTCATTATTCGCTCAGTAGTTGTTATCACTTCCGCGTTATTGCATTCTGCGCACTCTCTTCTTTTACAACTCATAACACTTGGTATCAGAGCTACTTTCCTAGGTTACCCTCGCATTTCCGGGGTAGTTTGTGTGAGGGGAGTGATCGACTTGGTGGGTTGCAAGGCGGTCGGCCTGTGAAATAGATACGATTATTTCACTCCGACTACGATAGCGTTTGCGCCTTCACCAAATTCAAAAAAATCGCTAACCACCCCCTGCCCGTCCGACGAAGTCTGAGAAACATACAGCAGGCCGAGTTTGACGAGTTCGTGCAACAGTTTCGGGCGATGCAGGCCAACTTGCAGACGATGTCTGTGGAGGTGGAAAGTCTGAGGAAGGAAAACGCCGAACTACACCAGGCGCGAGGTGAAGCGCGCCAAGAGTCGCCTGTCGTGGAAGAAGCAAATAGTAGCTCCACGCAAGATGAGCGGATCTTCAACGAGCTCGAGGACTCCATGGATGCTGACGATGCAAGGCGGGAACAACAGCAAAAGTCACCGCAACAGTCGCATGCAATACCAACACATACAGCAGCGTCTCAAAGTTAGTGAACAACGGAATGTGTGAACTAGGGAAACAAGGGATACAAATAGCAACCCTAAAAGTGTTGTACTCCCTATAGTGCTACTCACTGTAGCCTAAGAACCTATAATAACATTTGACACACCCCCATAGGCTAATTGAGGGGCATCAAAGCAAGCAGGGTGAACAAACGGTCACAAGACCAGTCAATGCAAGAAGCAAAGCAAGCTCAGGGTGGATCTCAAGGACACAACACAAATTCCGACCACTAGCAAGCGGCCACAAGGCCAGTTCAAGAGTTCACTAGGATATATATAGCAAAGCACAACAAGCAGAGCAAACAGCAAGTCTACAGCAACCGAGGGCCTACCTCAACAAGCCCCAACTGCACACAGAACATGTGGTGGTCACCAAGCGCCAGGGCCTTGGTGAAGACGTCCGCAGTGTTGGCCTCTGAGGCCACAAAGTCCACGCGTGCCTGGCCGCGTCGCTGCAGCTCTCGCATAAGGAAGTACCTCACGTCAATATGCTTCACTCTGCTCTCCAGTCGAGGCTCTCGACAGAGGAGGATCATGGCCTTGTTGTCAGCGTACAAGGTCGGTGCTGAGCGAGGCCGCTCACCAAGGTCGGCGAGCAAGAAGGTCAACCAGCGAAGCTCCTGTGCCGCCATGGCACCAGCGTAGATATCTGCCTCTGCACTGGAAGTAGCCACAGACGACGAACGTGTAGACCTCCACGACACAGCACCAGCACACAGACTAAAGCAGTAACCCTGAGTCGAGCGCTGAGTCTCCACGTCGTCAGCGTAGGAAGAGTCACAGTGACCAGTCAACGCCACTGGCTGAGTCCCTCCAAGCACAAGCCCCATGCCTGATGTAGTCGCCAGGTACTTCGCCACCCTCACAGCAGCTGTCCAGTGGACAGGACGGTGTCTCCCAGTCGCAACAAAGCGAGAGAGGACGCTGAGGGGAAAGGCGAGGTCCAGCCGAGTACAAGTCATCAGATACATGAGGCAGCCCACCAGCTCTGCGTAGGGTCCACTGGACTCAAAAGGCTCGTCGGGAAAGGGGCCAGTGAGTCTGTGGTCAACAGCAAGAGGTGTGGGCTGTGTGGTGGAGAACTGGAAGTCGAACCGCCGAAGGACCTGCTGCACCATGTGTGACTGAGTCAGTGTGATGGTGCGAGCGGCTCTGTCCCTGGTGATTTGCAGGCCAAGGTAGCGCTGCAGTTCACCTAGGTCAGTGCACGTGTGTCTCTTCTGCAGTTCGGACTTCACCTGAGCCAGAGCTGCCCTGTCTGCTGTGGCAAAGACCAAGTCGTCGACGTACACTAGTATAAAGAAAGGAGTGGAACCAGTGCGAACAAACAGCGACGGGTCGGTAGAGGAAGGACAAAACCCAAGGTCACAAAGCGTGGAGCGAAGAGTGTCGTGCCACTCACGGGGCGACTGGCGGAGACCGTAGACTGGCCGTCTCAAGCTCCACTGGGTCCCAGGTGGGAAGGTGTCAGTGAAGCCAGGAGGGCGGCGCAGCCAGATCTCCTCATGTAGTCGGCCCTGGAGAAACGCAGTAGAGAAGTCAAGGGAGTGCAGCTCGTAGTCTCGCTGTGCTGCTACGTGCAGTAACACCCGAAGAGTAGTCATCTTCGGGGTCGGGGCGAAGGTCTGGAAGAAGTCAACTCCCTCACGCTGACTGAAACCCCTAGCCACGTAGCGCGCCTTGAACACAGGCGGTGAACCAGGCGGCCGCTTCACCTTGAAGAGCCACATGCCATCGACTACGTTCGCCCTGGGAGGGGGAACTGCGTCGACGTAGGTGCCTGTGGATCTCCAAGACGCTAACTCCGAGGCCATAGCCGCTTTCCACTGAGAGGCCCACGCCCCTGACACTGCCGCGGTAAGTGCGAGGAGTCGGTATGTCAAGGGCATCGGGGTCTCCCTCAGGGGATAGCAACATGGCACAGACAGAGGGAGAAGCAGCTGCCCAGTACTCCAGCTCAGACTCTTTGTCCTCTAGGACGTCACAGCCAAAGGCAAACCCACCCCCGACGGACAGAGGACGGGAGGGTGGAGCTGGCACCACACGGGTGGTGTAGTCAAGGCGACTGGCGGCAGCAAACTCAGCGTCAGCGGCAGTGAGAGCCGAGACAGACGATGGAGGGAAACGAGAGTCAGTGACAAGAGTGGCGAGGACACGAGAGACAACAGGACGAACAGCACGGTAGTAGTCAGTGACAGGAGTAGGGGGGAAAGGGAGAGAGGACGGAGGCGGAGACGGGAGAACGGACTCAGGAGGAGGACGACGAAGAGACGAACAAAGGAGGGCAGTGCGGAGGTCGGTAACGGGAGACGAGTGACGAGCACGCAGAGGACAGGGACGGATACGAGAGTGCGGGACACCAGGTGGAGGAGACTGCGGTGGAGGAGAATTCCAGACCGCCGGACTGGCGTCAAGGGGAGGAAACGTGGGACCAAACACTGGAGGGGACGGAGTGTGAACAGTTAGAGAGGAGGGATGACCAAGGGCCCGAAGGCCACTCACGGGTGGGAACAACTGCCGCTCCAGAGGGAGCTGCTGTGGTCGCAGCTGCGGCGGCGGTGTCTGCTGCTGCTGCGGCTGCTGCTGCTGCTGCGGCTGCTGCTGCTGCTGCTGCTGCTGCTGCTGCTGCTGCTGCTGCTGCTGCTGCTGCTACTGCTGCTGCTGCTGCTGCTGCTGCTGCTGCTGCTGCTGCTGCTGCTGCTGCTGGTGCTGCTGGTGCTGCTGCTGCTTCTGCTGCTGCTGCTGCTGCTGCTCCAGCAGGTCCAGCTGCCGCAACTCCTGCCGCTCCCTCTCCAACAGCACCTGCTCCTCACGCTCACGCCAACGGGCCGCCTGGAGACGTGTACCGTGGCGGTGGGGAGGCGGAGTGGACTCTGCAGAACCAGTGTCTCCAGCTCCAGTCTCCTCAGAACCAGCACCTCCAGTGCCAGCGCCTCCAGCACCAGCACCCCCAGAGCCAGCATCCCCAGGACCAGCACCCCCAGAACCAGCACCTCCTGTGCCAGCACCTCCAGCTCCAGCACCCCCAAAACTAGTACCGCCAGTGCCAGGACCTCCAACTCCAGCACCCCCAGAACTAGCACCTCCAGTGCCAGCACCTCCATCTCCAGCACCCCCAGAGCTAGCGCCACCTGCGCCAGCACCTCCAGCTCCAGCACCCCCAGGACTAGCACCTCTAGTGCCAGGACCTCCAGCTCCAGCACCCCCAGGGCTAGCGCCACCTGCGCCAGCACCTCCAACTCTAGCACCCCTCCAACGAGCACCCCCGGACCAAGTACCGCCAGTGGCTGCACCTCCAGCTCCAAAACCAACCGAGTCCACAGTAGCCTGTCGCGGAAGTACCGAAGGCTGCTGAGGGGACTGTGAGGAGGAGTGCGGGGAGGGAGCCGCTACCTGACGCGCGACCGAGGGTAGAGGGGTAGCGTGAGACACACCTGACGGGGCACGACCAGGGGGGGGTGGGGGTACCGGAGGAGCGGGAGCAGGGGGAAGAGAGGGTGCGAGGAAAAGGGGGGGAAGGGGAACCGGGAGACCTCGACAGGGGTACCGGGTGTAGTAGGACACTGACTCGTCGAACCGGACGTCACAGGAGTCTAGGAACTAGTGGAGGGGCGGGTGGTAAAAGGACCAGTCGGCCGAGGCTACCGGGAAACCAAGGAAGACACAGGGGACGGCGCGAGCCGAGAGCTTGTCCGCAGAGGTGTCGCGGACAAGCGCAAGGCAGCCCCAGACACGAAAAGCTGACCCA